ACTAGTGCAGATGTCAAGGCAAAATCCGTTATATAAATTAACATCTCCCCTACGCAAAAATGCATCTTGAAAATATTCATATCTACCCCATGGGACTAAATTATGGGACAATCACTGTCATACATGTTCTAAAAGATGTGAACACATAAAATTGTCTGTGGACAAGAAGACTAACGAGTGCACCGAGGAAACGGCAGGGGCGGTTGGGAAACAAGGCTGAGATGGTTTGGATGTGTCCAAAGGAAGGAGGAATCGGATGTGCCCGGGAGAAGGAAGAGGGGGAAGACAAGCAAACAGATGCAGGAATTGTGTCAGAGAGGACATGAAACACACCATGGCATGGAGGAACGGGTCCTAGATCAATTGAAGTGGAAGGCTACTGCTCACAGGGATGGAGGCGACCCCAAGTTAAATGGGAAAAGTCTTTGAAGAAGATGCACTGGCCATAAAAAAAATGCCAAGAAAAAAAGTTGAAACTTTCTCTGGCTTTCAGCACATAAATAACTAAAAAAATACATATTTATTAACAAAAATGGCAAAATAAAGGCTTCTGTTTTGTCTCTGAAATTTATGACTGAAACAATATGGAATTTGTGCATATACTCCTGTAAATATTATTTTATTACTGGGCAATACTGCCATCTGGCAAGTTTGATATGAGGGCTGATTTTGATCTGAGATTTTTGCAGAAAACCACTATTTGAGCTTCAATTGCATCCAGAATTAATATTGCACCTCATGCGTCCTTTGGAGAAAAGATGGAATGTATATACATGTTCATCTTATGGTCACTGCAAGCAAATTGGTGCATCATGCTTACACCACACTCACACAAGTTCCAGGTAAGGTAATGGCAGTGTTCTTTCATTAACAATTAATGTACACACACCTGCCCAATTTAGGCTCAGTACTACCTCAACATTGTCGTTTACGTGGTCATAACCTTGCACTTCTCGCTACAGGCTCAGACCTATCTCAATATTATAACTGGCTTAATGATATCGCTCCGTTCAGCATTAGCCCTATTCCTCTCGGCCATTATGGCATAACGACTTTCCATAGTTACATCAAGAACTAGATCAGCAATGGCTTTGTATTGTTAACACTGACCCTCTTTGTTACAGCCAAACAAGCATTTGTCAAGTACGGATTTATAATAAAGGCAATTCACAGTAGTGCGCCTCCAAGGGTTGCAACGCATTGGCCAATCACAATGCGCAAAATGCACATTTGGAAAGGGTTGACAGATTTCATGCATTGTAATGGCCAACGCTTTGCAAATTCTTGGAGGAGCACAATTGTGAATCGCACATATTAGGCGATTAGAAGCCATTACCACAGTGGCATCACACTCACACATATGTGGTATGCAGGTTAATTTCCTTTAACAATCAAGTGAGAATTGTTACTTGCCTAAAATAATGCACATGAGAAACACAGTTACATAAAAGTAAAATTTCAGGGACTTTAGTAAAATCTTTCTATTACGTGGTCCCTTTAACCTCACTTTTAAGTTACATTTTGTTATTTTTGTCTAGCATTGGGGCCTTTTGGTTTTATGCTCATGTGAATTTACATATTCATGCACAAAACTACGAGTAGTCCAAGGCACTAAACCTCAATGGTACAATGTACATTGATTTGTACACCAAAATTACAAGATTGTTCATACATTGAAGGTTTCCATTTCCTTTGGCAATTTACTATTGAATACTTTATGTCAAAATGCCTGCAAGCAGCAGATGTGTGGTTCAAAACTTGAACATGAGAACATACAAATGGAACAGGGTCTTCTTCCCAGATTTACATCACACTATAAAGAGCGCCCTCACTTGTCTGGAAAAGCTTGATCAATTTTGAATGTTTAAAAAGATTTCAGTTTCCATGTGCTGCAGAAGAGTTGAAACACGCACAAGAGGTGAATCTCAGAAAAATTAATTGCATTGATCCTTCTAGACATAAACCCTAGTGTTGCTATTCATGACACTCTTTGTGAACATGCAGTTGATACAGTCTTAACAACAAGGATACTTATCTGTAAGACTTGGTCACAGGCAGGTTTGATTGCTTCAATACAATGTACTGCGTATCTTGTGGATGGGAATATGCTGCATGTCCCTCCAGTGGTCTTTGGAGTAGTCCCACAGATAGAAATCAATGATGACACTGTTCAGAGTCAGTCCCGACAGCGATGAGTCTTGGGTCATCAAGTCCTTCAGTTTCTGTCGTATCAGCTGCAGTTACGGTACGAGCAAATGACATCGACGTGCGTGTGTACATGTAAAATCTTTTCAGCAAAATCTATGAACTGCAACTCTCCTTAGACACAAGGCACAGCAGGTGTCAGATCTTGCTGTAATACTGGGCCGTCACCAGCTCAGCGATATAAATGGCAAATTCTGAGAAAATGGGAGCTAATTCCTCGTGTGGTCTGTGGTGGCCAGGAGGCTAGCTAGCAGGGAGAGTGAGTCAGCATGACTTGCAAACAGTCACGAAGGTGATTCATAAAGATGTGTTCAGCTGTTGCATTCGGGACAAAACACCACTGAGAATCGGTAGGCCTACTGATAAATTAAAACTATACGAGGAAATTGACAAGCACTGGAACATCTCCAAAGTATGAGATCAAACTTATTTCAGACAAAAAAAATTTCAAAAAAATGTGCCTTTAAAATGTCACATTCAAAATGTGAATGCAACCTGATATGGGTTGTTGAAGAGTTAATGTGTACGTGCACTGGACATGTGTTCTCAACTGGACCAACTTATATTCCCAGTGGTGCACTCTGCCAACAATGCAAACCATACAGCGCCCAACACATTCAACAGGCTGAATTCCTAATTGGGCCAAATTATTAAACCTGAAATGGTCACACCAAGCTGTATACTTCATAAGAAGATGTGCAAACAGTGATGGGCTAATGAGTGATTATGTGCCAGATGAGCAGGCTTGATAACATTGGCACACTGACAGTTATGACCACTGTCCATAATTATTATTAATAAAGAGGGCAAGAAAGATCATATATGAGTCTCACCTCAACAGCCCAGATGGAGCAACCTCTAATCTCAACCTCTAGCCTCTCCCCTGGTGTGAAGAGACGGCCTGAGTGGAGAATCTCTTGGAGACGGGATGAATACTTTAAAACTCCAAAATAGTTCAAGACTTGAGGTACTCTGAAAATAACAAGATCGTGACAGGTAAATGAACTCTGTACATGAAAATTGTAGAACAAACATACCAATTTTAGGGTAATTAGTGATCGACATGGCGTCCAACTTTACATGGCATGTATTCATGAGTGTAAACCTAAAATAATTCCCACTTAATTCTAAATAAACAGATGGGGTGTTCATGCCAGACTAGGAATATTAATTAACATATTGAAAACCTCAATCTTACCTGTAATCTGCAAACATAGTCAGAATTTCTATATCGCTGAACTTTCCATAACCTTTGCCTTCAAAGCACGCCCAAATATCAGCAATCAGGATTTGTGCCCTTTTGTACAAAGAAACTGTTTGGGATAAACAAAAGGATACATAAAAAGATTTTAATTAGCTTTTTAATAATAGAGCAAGACAGATTATACTCTGCAGTCATGTTTTAAATATTCCTCATAAAAGTCAATAGCTTTGTATGGGTGTTGTGTTGCGGACCAAAATCAACTTCAAAGGATTATCAGATTGAATAATTTGACTGTAAAAAGTCCTGCAAGTATTTGTTGATAATGTGCTGAAACATACTACACCCCATAAAATTGAACAAAAGAGTGGGCTTGATTTTGGACAAATTAACCCGGCAACATGGTACAGAGTTTCAAAGTAAAAAGAGCCTCACACAATTATGCATGCGCTCCATTATGTAGATTTTGAACAAATTATGCAAAGGGTTGAACTGGAACCAGAATGGCTTGATGATTGGCCAAATGCAGTGCATCAATTATTTACGCTTTATATACACAAGTAACAGGCTGCTGAGGATTTCTTTGAGGTGGTTGCCCAGGGAACATGTGCTAGACACTGTGATTAGATGAGGACACCAACTGCTAGGAAACTGCCATTGTCAAGTCACATCAATTACTGCAGGATCCTTATGATCCTAGACAAGATCAACAGATCTATAACACAGAGTCTGTTGGACAGAGCGGTATTTCACCATTCCAGAGCTTTATTGAATATTCATAGGATGCAACAGGCTGGAACACAGTTCTAATAACACTAATATGGATGTGGTGTTGACACATTGACTGCTGACTGTGACATTTTTCAACATAGTGGGTATACTAGAAGTGTATTGGTGGTAACTACATGTACATGTAAACGGGTTTGGAATCGTGGTAAGAATCCAACAACAATGCTGTAATGCCCTTGCAGACTGGAGAACACTATTTTTTGTCAGGCCTGTGTTCAATTTTTCACAAATTACTGTTTAACAGTTAAACCAACATCGAAAAGTTTGCAAAGGCAAAAATGTAATTTCACCAACTGATGTGCTTTATTTCATGCAGCACCGAGGAGCAATAAAGTATAATGAATTACAAATATTGAAAAAGTCTGCACCACTACCAAGCCATCAGGAATCCCTCCTACTTTTGCAAGAGATATCCCAGTAACTTGTAGCAAAATGGACTCTTTATGATAGTTTTCACTTCATTCTTTACAACAAGCCGAGATGGCAGACCATGTCAGTGAAATTACTTTTCGAAGGAAACAAACACATATACTTTACCGGCCATTCCTTCAAACATGGCAACATCTCGGTATGACGGAAAGTTCTCAGGGATTAGATGCAGCAGCTTGGAAGCCTTATTCTCACACTGGGAGACGCAGTTGACAAACGAGCCTCCAAACTTCTGTTAAAACATCAAAGTTAAATAACAGGTGATAAAGGGTTAAAGAGCCAGTTGCCTGTAAAGTTCTTGGGTTAAAAATTAAATACACATTTTGAACCATCTAATCTGATTACCCACTGCTGTTCACTCCTACACCAAAATGTCAAACTACAAAATATATACTGTCTATGATGGTGGGATGGAAAATGGCTGTATGATACGCATTAAAACCTCAAAGGTGGAGTACTCCTGACAGCAGAAACACAGCTGAAATGAGAACCTTGCTGAATGCAACAGAATGCAACACAGCTAAAATGAGAACCCTGCTGAATGCAACAGAATGCAACACAGCTAAAATGAGAACCTTGCTGAATGCAACAGAATGCAACACAGCTAAAATGCGAACCCTGCTGAATGCAACAGAATGCAACACAGCTAAAATGAGAACCCTGCTGAATGCAACAGAATGCAACACAGCTAAAATGAGAACCCTGCTGAATGCAACAGAATGCAACACAGCTAAAATGGAACCCTGCTGAATGCAACAGAATGCAACACAGCTAAAATGAGAACCCTGCTGAATGCAACAAAAATGCAACACAGCTGAAATGCGAACCCTGCTGAANTATAACACTAATATGGATGTGGTGTTGACACATTGACTGCTGACTGTGACATTTTTCAACGTAGTGGGTATACTAGAAGTGTATTGGTGGTAACTACATGTACATGTAAATGGGTTTGGAATTGTGGTAAGAATCCAACGACAATGCTGTAATGCCCTTGCAGATTGGAGCACACTATTTTTTTGTCATGCCTGTGTTCAATGTTTCACCAATTACTGTTTAACAGTTAAACCAACATTGAAAAGTTTCCAAAGGCAAAAATGTAATTTCACCAACTGATGTGCTTTATTTCATGCAGCACTGAGGAGCAATATAGTATAATGAATTACAAATATTGAAAAAGTCTGCACCACTACCAAGCCATCAGGAATCCCTCCTACTTTTGCAAGAGATATCCCAGTAACTTGAAGCAAAAAGGACTCTTTATGATAGTTTTCACTTCATTCTTTAAAGATGGCAGACCATGTCAGTGAAATTACTTTTCGAAGGAAACGAACCCATATACTTTACCGGCCATTCCTTCAAACATGGCAACGTCTCGGTATGACGGAAAGTTCTCAGTGATTAGATGCAGCAGCTTGGAAGCCTTATTATCACACTGGGAGACGCAGTTGACAAACGAGCCTCCAAACTTCTGTTAAAACATTAAAGTTAAATAACAGGTGATAAAGGGTTAAAGAGCCAGTTGCCTGTAAAGTTCTTGGGTTAAAAATTAAATACACATTTTGAACCATCTAATCTGATTACCCACTGCTGTTCACTCCTACACCAAAATGTCAAACTACAAAATATATACTGTCTATGATGGTGGGATGGAAAATGGCTGTATGACACACATTAAAACCTCAACGGTGGAGTACTCCTAAAAGCAGAAACATACTCAAATGAGAACCCTGCTAAATACAACAGAATGCCACACAGCTGACTACAGACCATGCTGAATGCAACAGAATGCAACACAGCTAAAACGAGAACCCTGTTGAAATGAAATGAGAACCTTGCTGAATGCAACAGAATGCAACACAGCTGAAATGAGAACCCTGCTGAATGCAACAGAATGCAACAGCTAAAATGAGAATCGTGCTGAATGCAACAGAATGCAACACAGCTGAAATGAGAATCCTGCTGAATGCAACAGAATGCAACACAGCTGAAATGAGAACCCTGCTGAATGTAACAGAATGCAACACAGCTGAAATGAGAACCTTGTTGAATGCAACAGAATGCAACACAGCTCAAATGAGAACCTTGTTGAATGCAACAGAATGCAACACAGCTCAAATGAGACCCTTGCTGAATGCAACAGAATGCAACACAGCTGAAATGAGAACCCTGCTGAATGGAACAGAATGCAACACAGCTGAAATGAGAACCTTGCTGTATGCAACAGAATGCAACACAGCTGAAATGAGAACTTTGCTGAATGCAACACAGCTAAAATGAGAACCTTACTGAATGCAACAGAATGCCTCACAATGCACTGATGAATCTTGGGTAGTGCACCAGATAAACAACAGCCTAGGCCGTACAAAGCTACGCAACGTACTCTACAACTTGTGCTTACTGCTAAATAGTGTACCAATGTGCAACCATTTCTCAACACTGGTGCATTCTGTTGCATTTAGTAAGGATGAGGTTAATTTGACACTCTTGTAAACACAGGGAATGTTGTTAGAAACTGGCATACAAGCTATTTTTATCATACGTAGGACAACCTCATCAGGCTCTGGCCAAACACACACGTCATCTTATAACAATGGAAGTACACTCATGCATATCCAGGAATCTGGCATAATGTAATTCAAACACAAGACCTGTGGATAGAAATAGGGATCACTTTGAAAGATTTGCGGCTTCATCAGCCACAGGCAATGTTGCGTCAGCCGAGCAGACAGCAAAGGCAATTAGGATGCATCACCCATGGTCTGGTGTGACTGCAGGAAGCCTGTGATAAACTGAGCTAGAATGGTGAGAATTCATGAATTCACTTACTTCTAGAAGGACGCTGCCAGCTTCGTGTAAGTGCTCCAGCCTCTTGTCTAGGAGCGGTATGTCCGTGTCCGTTGCTGACCGGAATATGTGCCTCAACTGGTCCATGGTGATCGAAGAGTAATAAGATGGTGATGTGATTGGAATGTCTTCCTGTCCATGCCCCCCCCAAAAATAAAACAAAGACATAGAAAAGCTGAATTGAATGGGACCTGTATCAATGCTAGTGGGTTGGATTGGGCACAACTGCAATGTCTGAACTGCTTTTGTTTGGCTTACATGAACTGACTGAAGTTGTTCCAGATTCAAGCTTGGAAGATGGCTTAGAGACAACAAATGCTATTTTCAAGTGTCAAGGTTGCATTCAGGCTGAACAAGCAATGTGGATAAGGTTCTGAGTACTCACTATACAGGGTTTGAATTTTGTTTTCAGATTCCATGGTTGACCGCCCCAGTAAATCATAAAATTGGCTGACTAAAAAGAGTTTTGAAGGATCATCACAGGGCTCCTTTGTTTAAATTATACAGCAAACAGATAATGCGGGCAAAGTGAAGACTAAACGGTAGGATTTGTTAAGTTGGGGGGCTGCATGCGACCAACATCAAATTTACTGGATGCGGCCCAGGATTCTAATGCAAATCAAACCCTGCTCTGCTGCCAGGACACCACACTGGGGTGCCTGCCTCTCACATGCAGAGGCTCCAGGTATGACAGGGTTGTGCGCATTTAACTGAAAACCCAGTGACCATTACTTCACACAATAATTACACAAAAACCAGCACTTCCTGGAATAGATCTTATGAACAAGCACACATCGTGCAAAAGTTCCTGCACAGGGTTGCTTTCACTTAGTGCTCTTCAGTTGGAGACCGGATGTTTGGCATCTGGAACTTTGATCTGACATGGTGATGAATACCACCTTCAAGAATTTACTCGCTATTACATTGTAGGTTGCAATGGGTGCTTTTGTCCTGAAAAGATCCTTCAGAAATTGGGTTGCTATTATGTACAACTTAAAAACAATTATGCATTACCACCTCCGGTAGACAACAGGCTACACCACTTTCCACATACCCAAAACATGATGAAAACATTCACCGCTTTGCTTCATGTTCACCCCCTTCAAACTGTTCCGTACAGGTCAGGTCAACTTACATCCAATGCCCTGTTGATCGCAGCACACAGGGCCCAGTAGCCGCTGTGCGTACCGCCTCGATAGTCCACCAGGAATCGCTTGTCATTTGTTTCACTCCAGAAGGAGAAGTTCAATGTGTCAACTACAAAGATCCTGTGCAAATACACAGATAAAACAACGCGAGCTGGGAGTGAGCAAAAGTAAACCGGATACCGTGTACCTTTTTCCATTCGACTCACATTTATTTCCATGCCAAAATGAGAAATGCAAGCACAGAATACACAAGTAAATCTGGAGACATAATAGTCAAAGGGTGTAAAGGACGGAAATTGGAGTGGACGCTTCTTCTTGAAAGTCAAGACCTGTGGCAAGACACCCTTTGATAGACTGACAAGAAATGATAATAATACACAGACAGCTGGACCAAGGCAAAACCTAACCATGAAAACATACGTGCGTTATGAGAGAACAAATGCTTGCTGAAAACCAAATGAGCAGCAAGCCATGTCAGATATTGGGAGATGTGAGCTCTTTTTCAGGCATGTTTGAATCGACCCACAGATGAGAGAGATTTTAAGATTTATCATAATGGCATTCCAGATAAGGCCCTTTAAAGTATGAAAAGGCCAGTTATATGTTCCTAGCGTATAAGGGATCCATTCCATAGTGCAAACAGAACATTCCTCAAAAGAAAAAAAAATAACCCTAAAAAGTTCTTCAAAAACCTTCAGAAATAAAATGAGTTACCCAAATTACCGAAATGCACATACAGTCAACTGTCATTGTAACAACGGCAAAGAGACCAGACAAATTACTTTCAACCCAGGACTTCATTTAGGAGTAGAAAAAAAAACCAAAGAAATTGGGATTTTCATTACGACGCAACTTGTTATTTACAGCATTCTTTTTGACAAGAGCCAACTGAATACCGGTTTTTATGGTGGAACTTTCAACCAAAGACCTAAAAAGCTCTCTGCACTGCCTGTGAGGTAATTGTACCAGGTTCCATAAATGTTTTAACTGGTTCAAATCCAAATCCGAGCCATCTGATACTCAGGTACCTGGTTCCAATGTAGCCACACTTGTAAGCTGTGATTTCAATCCCACTCATGGCTTTAAACGAGTTAAAGCAAATTTCCATGAGAAGGCCCGATGGCCATTAATCTCCGTCCATTCAGAAAGCCCCTCCAAGCACTGCGTAATCCTTCCTATTATCTAATAAAAGGGCATACAAATACTGTACCAAGGCAAGAACCCCAACAACTTTCCGTCTTCAACCCTGGAGGCCCAATTTCTTTTTTTTCATCAGTTATCATGATCAACGTGAACAATGAAGTGCACTTTTCAAAACAACTCGTACCCACGCATTAATTATCTTTGCCTGTAAACTAGAAGATGTACACCCTGAAATCGTGATATCTAAAATGTACCTCTCACCTTCAAACAACAGTGGGATTCAGGCTAACAAATACAAGAGCAAACATTCCTAGCAGTAGCTCCTTGCATGTGTGAAACTGCTTTATAAAGAGTGCCTGAAGCATCAGAATAGAGATTTCACTGACCAATCGAGAGTCTCTTTTGTTATCAGTTTAGGGTGCAGATCATGTTGTTTCCATATCTTCACGCTGTATTCGTTCTTCTTTAAACTTCCGAAAATCTGTGAAACAGTGACAGTTCCAAGGACAATTATTTACATAATATGGCTAGGGCTAGTAATGGCAATCATTGGCCTACAAGGTACACATGACGAGTAGTCCGTACCTATAGACCTTTTTCACCCACGTGACTAGGCTGTGCTAAATGTAAACAATACTGCCACGTGTGGACCAGCTTGGCCCCAGTGATCGCACATATTCCTACGGGCAGCTTCAACTGCATGTACGTGCAAGCCCACCAGCAAATGCTGCACGCTTGACTGGTGTATAAGTAGATTAACATGACAACACTATGCATTCCTTACCACCACAACACATGGCGGTCCAGCACGATTGTGACATCACAGGAAAAAGGTCTACTCTGCACCAATAAACCAACTGCTATTCTAAAGACTATACAGGAAGATTTCTATAGACATAACTGATTTTTCCCTGACATGTCAGCCATCAGCAAGTGATATGTTCTAAAACGTCAAGTTTACCAGGGAAAATATTGATGCATTTACCACAACAATTTAGAAAACACTTAAAATTTCACAGACCAGTCTCATAGGGATTTAGGGATTTGAGCACAGGGTGTGGAGTGAGGTCCAGTTACAGAACTCTTAATTGTGATTATTCACTAAAGACTATACAATGAACATGAGCGCACAACAATGTAGAGGCTGAAGTAAGATTTGATCGAAAGGCCTGAATTTATCAAATAAAAATCAAACCACCAAATTCAATGAACAGAACTTTATAGTTCAATGGTGACATTCTGCACTGCCTTTAGCATAGCTAGTCCAAGCAATCAGGACTCTCTACATCACTTTATTTTAAAACATTTTTAAACGTGACTTGACAATGTCCAAATGGTAAAGCACTTAGAGTCCTAGTTACTCAAACTAGAGTCTGTCAATGAAATTAACGGCACTATTCCTCTCACCGTGTTAGCAATATTGCAGGCCCCATCTTCTGAGATGGTGACATCTTGACTCTTTGAGGCGATGAGTTTGCCAGACTCTCTCGGCATCAAGGGCTCAGTTGTCATGATCAGACGTTAATTATGTGTCTCGACACTGGTAAGCACTGCTAGAAATAGCATGGGAACATCAAAATCACATGGGAAACAGAAATTATTAAAATGAGGTCATCAATGTCACAATAACATCTTGTTAATTTGGAGCCACACACTCACAGAGGCCTGTGAGGAGATTACACCTGAGGAGATTTGAGGGACATATGGTTGAACACCTACAAGTTTAGTGTGGAAAGAGTTCCATAGCAAGCCTACCCCCGGAACTGCGGGATTCGTTGTCCGCCGCATTCCACGGACAGTGAACCACACAGTTCTGGGGGTATATCTGGCCATCATGATTCTCAAGTTCTTTAAACAAATTTGACAAGTACAATCTGAAACAACTTTTCCTCAGACAATTCCAGTTTTTCCCTTAGTTGAGAAGATTTGGACTCACTTTCAATAAAAAATGCAAGGTGAGGAGGAACTTGTTAAGTTTGTCGGATATTAGCCTGAGAAACCCTTTAGCTCAATTGAATACCCCACTACCCCACATGATCAACCTCATAGCCAGGTAGAGGTCAAACTCAAAGTGATGCCAGGGGTCTTTTTTGGAGTGGCGGGTATTTGGCAATCGCTCCAAACACTTGCCTTTAATTTTGTGGAAAGAGAGCAGAGCTTTCATTTATTTTGTGGGTAAAAAAAGATACTTTTAACAACAATTCTCACAGTCGCACATCAAGGAACTCCTGCATTGACATGATCGCATGGCATGAAGAGGTCTTTTGTTGCCTCTTTATGGTGATTGTCAAATGTGTATCGAAGGCAAAAGTGACATCATGTTGACAACGAGAATGGTCCAGACACACATGCATTCCCTTGTTGGAGTTTTCTGGAGGAAACAACCAAAAACGTAAGGGGGTTGTCTTTAAACACGGAAACCGAGATTAATTTATCTGTTTCTTGAATGTGACAAACTATTTTTGCAATGGTAAATAGAATCTGTATCAGTATGTCATCTTCTTTAAATGACAACAAGAAATCTGCATTTCCATCGCACATGACTGAGCACAAGTGGGTTGATCTGTTAATAATGGACCGTATCAGACATGGCTTTGCACCGGATGTATCACAGGTTTGCACAGGGTGAAGCATCAAGTAGGCCTACTAATCACATCTGCCCTTGCTCTCATTGCTTTTAAGTGGTCAACATGCATTCTGGAGAGTCTAGCAAACATAACATAATTCTGACAAAAAAAGCCATCTCCGGACAGTATGAATTCAACAGCAAACTTGCTATTTGGCACAAAGCCATTTCTGATTTGTTTCACTTCATGCTCAGTCTGCATGAGTCATCTGTGATAGAAATTTGAATTTCTTGGTGTCATACAAAAGAGGATATCGTAATGAATTGAAACCGATGATGGTTACCATTTACCGAAATAATTAGTCACATTAAAGAAACATACAAATTTATCTTGGTGTCCTTTTTATTAAGACACCCATTATTATCTTCATAGAAATGTGCATTAAATGTGTACAAAGTGTGGGTACTTATACGGCTCTAGCGCACAGTGACTGACGTGCATGGCACCTTCTTCTCTGTAAGCAGTGCTGTAAAGTTAACAATCTCATCTGAGCTGTGGGCAGCTGAAAAGCGAGCACCGCTTCAGGTTCCATGCCTGATCCAAACAGTTGTTACACTGTGTTTCGACCAATGATTAGTTGGAGCGTCAACATTTTACAGCTTTTTCTTTACCGTAAGTGATGCTGAAAGTAGTAAAGAGCTTGACTCTATTTCTCCGTACGCCCTGTTAATGTTCCGTGTTTCCCACGTGAAACCTCCTTGGACTCGTTTGTCACCATGAACAGGAGAGGGCGCTATGACAGTTTACGGAAGTAACTTTCGTCGTTTCACACTAATATACGGAAGCGTATTGCTGCCAACGCGAAAAGAAAAGGATTTTCTCGTTTAACCCTACGAGATACAAATCGTTTAAACGAGTTAACTATGTCGTTTAAACGGCATCGCTATAATTGGAAATAACGCGATAGCGATATCGCGTTTAAACGAGATAGCTATGTCATTTAAACGAGAGAATAAGTCGACGTAAGTCGACGAAGAAATACGCTTCCATACTAATAAGATAAAAAATCAAGAAAATGACAGGGGCAGAATTAGAACTTGCAAATTTCAGACCATTATTGTGCCAACACTCCACCAACCGAGTTATCTAGCACAGATGTGGGCCCTTACAGAATTTTTGTTCAGGAGAGCTGGGGGCGGGGCATAACTCATCCCCATCGTCGGCTTTGGGCATTGTGGAAGCCCAGCTCTAGCTGGTGGGTAGGGGAGAGAACATTACAATAACAACAGATAATTTTGCAGCTTGTGATTTTTTGCCGATAGGGGGCCATCTGCTCGCTGGGTGTCCCTGTCCCTCCAGCTCATTGACGGGCTGAAGAGGGGAGGCAACACTGCGTAGCATGCATGACATTGATTACTGCCATCAACAAAGTATCGGAATTAAAAAGTTTTCACGATGAGGGGGAAGAGGAGGCATAAAATATACGGCCTTCTCCTTTCCCTGTTAACTTTTGCTACGGAAACTAATTATGGTCGGATGTCATAAATACGAATACCTACGGACGGTACCTCGTCACTTTTATGTTGATGTCCTCTTATATCCCTGGGAACCATACTCGGCTTTCAGTATAAGAAATCATTGTAAAACACCTATCACGAATGTTTCCCTACCTTCCCACGGAATGAGAGACCTTTCAAAAGCGAACACAGGTATCTGAGACTGGAAAAAAAGAATGCAAACCCCAAAATATGAAATCAGGAATAGTCCAGAGAGGAATGGGGAACTTTAACCCTAACACTCCTCAGTCCTCCAACAGGTGAAGGATTGAGGAGGGTTAGGGTTAATGATACATGCATATTACACCAAAATAATTTACTCGCTACATACCAATGGAATTCAAACTCTCTGAAGGCAAAAGAGTGAAAAACTCACTCTCAAAAAAGAGTGAGTCCCTCATTCCAATGAGTGGGAAGCACTCTTAAGACAGCGGAAATCATCCTTGAAAGAGTTAAAGTTAAAAGAGTGAAAAAATACCTAAAAGAGGAACCATTAAATAAAAAAAAAATGACAACTCTTTTTGGGTTGTGCTTAAACAGCTCTTTAGAGGAGCTGAAAGTTCACTCTTTTGAGTAGTTTTCACTCTTTTGGGATGGTTTTATAGGCTAACTCTTTTTAGAGTGGTGCAAGAATGAGTATTTCACTCTTTTGCTTTAAGAGAGATGGGTAGACAGGAATGCCTTCGTCAATGTGTTGTTCAGTAATTTCATGAAGTATCTGCGCCTGGTGGAAGTTTTTCGATATTTCCCTTGCTGGTGATCTCTTAAACTGCTGGTAATCCCGTAAGTTTTGTTGTCTGTTTCATCTCTTGTTTCGTTGCCGTGCATGCGTGGACCTTTTAATGCAGTGCATCACAACTCCCGGCAATGCTTGCACTCTCTCTGTATCATCTTTAAGTTCACATCAGGTTCAGCAATGTCTAAAAGAAAAGTCCTCTGAGATTGTGGCAGATGGTTTGTACATGTAATATCACAGTACACATTACTTCTTATTGTAAATAACTGGTACGCTCGTGTGCAGGTTCATCGGCGATGGGTGTTGGTGTCCTCACCTACTCAATGTGTAGCACACTGGGAGTTTTGGAACTGTCATAACCTGTTATGGAAGCATGTAGTCTGTCTGCTTTTGACCCACTGGAACAGTGGTGTTAACTAAGTGAGGGCAGGTGGAATTTCAGAAGGGATCGCCCGGCTTTTTTATTGCACAACTGTCTTGGGATACACCGCGTGCTTTCATCTGGGAAAATGGTTTTATTACAGTCTTGAGAAGGGACTATAGTCTTCATGCCTTCGCGGAAGACTCCCTTGCCACAAAATCCGAAATCGTAGAGCAGCATCCACAGCCGCATTTATAGACGTTTTCCGAGTCGAGTTTCCCCAGCAGGAAATCCCCGAGGGGGTTGGTGTAGTTACGTACGTACACCATGCGTACAGACGGGGAGGGGGTTCAAGGCAGTACAAACCGAAAATTTGCCTTTAATGAATCTCCATCATATCAATACATTTTCTCATACAAATTAATACCAGAATCAGCTTTTGTGGGTCAAAAACCATTCCAACACAGTATCCACCAGCCGTCCACCCACTATTTATCCTCTGGTGCCAACGCCCATTATCAGTAAACTGCAACATTACTCATGACACAAAGACCGACAGCGTCTTCCGGAATTGTGGAATGAGTATATACAGGAAGGTGGGGATTGGGTTGGAGCCACTGCGTGGCCATACGTACAGGGGAAGGGGGTCTGAAAAGTCGGCATTTCGTGCTTACGTACATTATGGACGCCCCCCCCCAAAAAAAGAAATCAAGGCAATTATTTCAAAATTATTAATACCTTCGCATTTTATTGATATTGTACGAATTACTTGGTAAAAAAAATCATGGGAGTGAGCTATTGAATCTTCCTTTCATTTATTTGTGGTTAAAAAAGACAAATATTGAGGAGTTTGTAGATTTTCCTAAGAAACAAAACGTTATCAATAGTTCTGAAAAATGTTTTAGGCTGTATAGATGTTCAGTTGAGAGGTGATTATGAGATGTACAGCTGTGCCATAAACAACGCCCCCTATAGTACCAAGCAGTGTCAGCACCCCTTCCCCTTGATTCGAATAACCAGTGCACGGCAAGGTTTTCATTTCAGCCCCCCCCCCCCCGTTTCATCCCCGGAACAGACTTAAGCCACTTGATCAAAGTTGAGATCACTCGTGGCTTTTACCAAGTAAAACATAATCCCGACAGTATCCAATGGAATCCAGGGTTGGCTCTGAGGCATGTTGGGGCCGTGGTTGGGGTAGCTCTGATCATACAGCAAGGAACAGATATAAAGGGGAAATGAATGAAAATAATTATTTCAATTCCTCCATTGATTAACAGGTGTTTGTTATTTGATTTCCTTTGATTTCCATACATTTTTGGAGGCCCGAGGCGTTTTGAACCTTTCTTTTCAATCCCACAGTGTTTCATACACTTTTTACTTCGTCACTGTTCTCTGTTAATGTTATTTTTAGAATGAGACTTGCCGTTTCAGATCTTGAACGATTCTCGATCGTCGTTCTCTGACCTCCAGAACCGACTCGGTCTAAATTGTCGGGCTTCTGTGGGCTAGCTTGTACCGCCTCTTCTACACTCGACGCGGATTTGATGCTAAGAGCACGCGACCAACTTTTTTTCACCCGAGCGTCCAGAGTCAGTGATGGAAGGCAATTCTTGAAAGATCATTTACATACGTTGTCATTCTAAGAGTTTGACGGCAAAGTTAATGGCGAAAATGTATAAGCCTATATGTTGTTTTACTGGAATTAGATAAGTCAGTTCAATTACCCCCCCCCCCATGTGAATTTTGTTTCCTGATTAAATAATCGTCAACACCAGTTTCATACAGTTCCCGTGAAGTATTTTCCTACTGTGCGTGCCAACACGTGTCGGATCACTAGTGCTGTTATGAATGACCACTATTATAACCATAAAACTGTCAACCGAACTAATTATTTATGTTCTCAAATATAGCTATTTTTATATTCCAATTTCCAGAAAACAGTTTAAAGAATACAGTCATGATATAGGTTTCATGAGGTAGAGGAATTTCGACAGAACCACTGGACGGTCCTCTTGAAATCGGTGGTCGTTATCAGTATCTTGGTGTGGTTGTATCTGATGATTTAAGCTGGAAAAGGCATATTGATTCGATTGTTTCTACAGTAATTAGGATGTTGGGCTTTGTCAAAAGACTAGTCATTTCTAAAGATTCGCAAAGTCAAGTAAAATTGTACTGCCCTGTATGGTACCTTCATCTTATTGTTCTCTGCAACATTCCATAGAAAGTGTGTAGGCTTACCTCGAAGACACATACCTGGATTTCGCACTAATGACAGACTACTCTGCCCGTCGCATTCAACTGGGATCACCTCCTCTACTATAAATAATAGGCCAAATTTCCCGTCAGTAGTTTTCATTGCCAAAAGTGTGTATAACAGGTTTTATGTAAACATTGAGAACTTGTCCATAGTTAACAAGAGGCCTCTCGACAGGATCAAATTTATTTATTGCTTCTCACGTACATGTACATAAGCATTTTATAATTCACTATTTGTAAGCTTCCCCAGGTTGTGGGATACCTAACCCGTTGATGTTGCTACTGGTGAAATTCCTTTGACCTGCACTTTAATGGATTTTTCATGAAATATATGTGAACTGCAGGCGCATGTGCGCTACTACCACTGGTTGGCAAATGCAGCCGTCATCCTGGTGCATTGAAGACCAATCAACACTCTATTACAACTCTTTTTCGATACTTAAGCACACTTTTCTCGAAACTAAATGAAGTTGCCGGTGCTCTGAGGTAGGAAAGTACCAATTCTTTGTCATAACGTTTGGTACTCAAGTCAAACTGTACTAATACAGAAATGGAGCCTGTATGTACATGTACATGTGTGCTTATACTTGCCCGCGTATATTGCAACTTTGCCAACCAGTGGTAGTAACGCGCATGCGCATGCCTTATTTGTATATTTCATGGCAGGTCCATTGTAAGTAGTAAATAATTTATGTACTAAATGTAACTTTTAATTACCCGCCTCAAGTAAACTGGGTTTATTTTGCCCAGCATTTTTTACGATTCCTGTAAATAACCATAGCAACAAAACTTTATTTTTATTACACATGTATTTCTCAGTCTTAAATAACGCCCACTACTTTCCAACAAACCCTGGTGCAATTTTGCCTAAACTAACCAGCTGATTACATGTATCTTTACCATATTGATAAGCTGATATTTAATAATTCTGAGATTAGTCTGTATAATAAATCTCTATAATTATGTGATCATCATTTTTTAGTGTGTTTTTTTATTTGTTGACATTTTAGGAGACCCTCTCGACAGTGATTGAGTTCGCCTTTATTCAGGTTAGCCATCAGGGGTGTAAGCAAATGTTGTTTAAGTCTGTTGTTTCAGTTGGCTTTGTACCCTGTGTCTGTATTCCCAGAGAAATAATAAATGAAATGAAAAGAAATAGTCACGAGACGGATCAAGGACACTGGTTCACAAAAAAATTCCGTGACGTGCACTTGCCATTGATCACAAGGGAACCTCATTGGCTACCCTACAGCATCGATTTAATTACCTACTGTTGAGCGAGGGAACCAGTGACACGATGGTGAAGGCTAATGTTATTAGCTCGTAACGTTTGACATAACACGGTGCAGTGCAGCCGTGCATGGCACATGTAAATAAACGATACTAATAGTGTAATGTGCATGCGGGGTGTGGGTCGTGCACATGTACCTGTGTACTACGGTCACTTAACACCACAGAATAGCATTAGCAGCACTGAAAAAAAGTGTCATCGATTGTCATTGTAGATATTCAGCTCATGTACGATAGGTCTGGAAGGACTGAGTGCGAAGTAAGTAGCTTTTACAAACATGGCAAAGAACCGTTCTATTTCTAATCTTAGGTTCGCTGACGCGCCCGTGGAGCACGCCTTCCTCCAGGACCATGGACTGTTTGGCCGTTGGTCCATGGAGGAACTACACCTAGCCCCCGGAACTGTGTTCGTTGTCCACCGGCCACCAAAAACTTGGTTAATGGTCGGTCCCCCGCGCCAGAAGTCCCCTAACGTGTCGCACTTCGACGTTTCCCAAGAACATGCAGTGTTGCCAACCCTCTTTGCTTCAAATTCGTTCAGTTAATGCTATTGCTAGTAGTATATAATCATTGTCATGTTTTTGAACAATTTTAGCGTCATGAAGTTTGTGAGCAGCTCCAGAAAAATGGGTAATAAGTTGCCAGATTCAGGTTACGAGTTTTGACATAGCTGTATTCCGCTTCAATTTTATATCTGAATAACCCGTGTAGTGCGCTGCATTCCGGAGATATAGATATTTGTATCTATCCACATTTTCGGATTCAATAAAGGCACTTTCAAGAAAAAGTTCACAAAGTGTAGCGCTTGGAAACACAATGCTCTATAGGATTTCCTACTGAACGATCAATTTTTCATCTGTATTCATCAGTATCCATGTTTATAGTCACAAATTCTGAAAATATAAATAGTACAGAAGCTATCAAAGGAAAATACACAAAATCATATTTTTGAAGAAATTTTGCCCTCTCCAACTAGAACAGGCCATTATGTGTTTTGGCATTGCGAGACTTAATACCCTTTTTAGCGGGTCACATTTAGTCTGAAATTCGTTACGGCTTCTGGAAATTTTCCTGACAATAACCATGGATGGTTTATAACCCGCACTTCATTAAGATATTTACAATAGGGTGGCACAAAATGCAGGTACATGTAGCAACCGACTTAAACAAGTGCAACAAACATGCACGTACGTACTGATCAAAGAAATGACTGTAATCCAATCCTCTGACTGGCTGGTGCACGCGTACGTCGCAATGCCAATGGTTGCAGTTTTCATTGGTTACTACCCGCCATTTTGCAAGAGCCTCAGATATGCGCGCCGCCCCAGAGCCTTGCTGCAAACCTTGTCATCTGATTGTTGGATCATTGATCACATCACTGAATAGTTCCTTCCATTCAACAGTACAGCCATTGAATAGAACATCATTTCACTTGACTGGTTCCTACCTACCCCTACCCCCAGAACTATGGGGTCTATCGTCTGCAGCGGAGGACGGACCCTACTAGTCTCTAACAGATGGATCTCAGACTTTATTCTCTAAAAAATCCTTTAGGGGCATGAATTGACCAAAAATGAAAAGAAAAACATGTATGGAGCTACATAAGCATCTAGGATCTAATTGTAAAAATGATGAAAAAAAATGAAGGAAATCATTTTTAAAAATGGCGTTCCAGCCTGAGCCTTTAGCTCGCTGAACATCATGTGCTACTGCAGTGCCGCTACAATAAATGGAAATTGAAACCCATATAGATTGGCAATGATTATTGTGCAGTGCCCTAACGATAGACTTTTGGAAGTCACGTAACAGTTACCTTAATGTTAGCCACTTGGAAAAATCAAAGTGCGCCACATTAGTAAAAGGGGCTGCGTGAAGTTGGGGTACGTTGACAGAGCATCAACAATAAGCATATACGTGGCCAAGGGAAATGTTAACATGAAGTTCTGGTCACATAGAGGTCCGAGGGGACATGGCCAAGATGAACATGTGCATGAGTGACCAGTTACAATGTACATGTATTTCACAGGCCTAAGCATATTATATACTAAGGAAGCTAGTAACACCTGTATCTCTGTGAAAATATACCGTCACCATTTTCACAAAAAGACAAAAGTCTCTCTAAAGAACAAAATCCAGGTTTCGAGAAAATTGCATTTAAAATTGGTGTCTTTTGCAAACATTCCTTTCCCCAAGACTTGACTTTCCCTTGACTATAAACAAGCTACATCATAAAAGGTCAGATCTTAAGACACAAAACCCACAAAATCATATTTTTAGGAATCAATTAACATTGTTTAGTAAACAAACACATTTGTCTGTACTTGAAAATGCTGGATTTTGTGTGCATTTTGTCTTTTTGTGAAAACGGTCCGTATTGGCAAGTGCTAGGTGCAATTGTTACATTTTCTGAATCACTTTTGTCTCTTTGTGAAAACGGTAAAATGGATTTTGCCCACAGTTGTGCCCTTTATTCATGTGGATGTATCTATGAAGGACTACTTTCTGTCTTCATGAAAATAGTAAATGCGGATTAAGTTGCATTTTGCCTATCAAGATCATCTTGATTTGGCTGATTTGAGTAGATTTGGTAAAAAAATGACTACACCACCTTCTAGACAGCAGTTAGCTTTGCTGATTTTGCTAAAAAACAATTTGAAATGATCATGATTTGAAACACTTTTCTTTCTTCGTGAAAACGGTGATGATATATCAACATTTTGAAATAAACAAGTTTCATGGTTTTTAATTAAACTGTTTTATGTTTAATTCAGAAATTATCCCTTAAGCTATTCACCAATTTAAGAAACACGCTTGGTATCCCGAGATTAAGTTTTTGAGTTGCTTTTGGCTATTCACATCATATGAGGACACTGTAACCACTCAAAAATTTTGATTATAGTGCCTGATTGGGCACTAGACCTGTTAACAGGACCATTTATATACTCTTCTGTCAACACTGGGCCCTGATACTGTACATGGGCAGTTCTGAATGTTTTAGGGCATGCTGTTTTCAATATATCAACCCTAACAATCCTCAGTCCTCATGTTTAATAATGGTTTTGCCCTTTCACCCACGTATATTCATAACATATGTTCAGTTATTAAAAATTAACATCTCTCCAAACTACATCTTTGGAAAGAGACAGACCTTCCAACAACTACGTATACCTGTAAGAAAATCCTAAACAAACCATCAGACATGTACATGTTGAATGGAATTAATCTTAAAAGTTACAGTGCTAGACGTTTTGATGCTACCAGGAGCAGAAACTTTTCAGTAGCAAAACCGACTTTTCAGTCTTGGCGGGAGCTTTCTCAAAAGAAAAAAACTGAAACATTTGGTCCAGATGAAAGAGATACTTCTAGTTCTACTATAGTTCTAGCTGAAACATCAGGCCCTTGAACTTTGAAAGCCATCTACATGTAAACCAACGCAGCTGAACTGATTTTTAGCACCTGAGGTACCAGTACGTGTACGTACATGTGTAAATACCCACAAATAAACACTGATACATATGTGCATGCATATTGGGGTGGTTTTTGGCATGTTTCCCATAGTTGTACATGTACACCATAGGCATAGATCCAATCGTGTACGTACTGTACATGTACAGTACCTATTTGTTCATGAGTTTAAAGTTACATTGAACCATACCAAGCACGTAATGCACACAGCCATTACTTTGCCCCTTGACCGGATTTCATTCAAATCCCAGTCACATTAGTGTTATCTCAGTGATAGCATTTCAGGTACATGTAAATAATGAAAAGGCCTGATGTGTGGCTGGTCTTTTCTGTGTACTGTGGATTTTCGATAACAATACCAAGATTTAGAAGTGAAATATGGCTATGCCCAAATTGTCTGCATGCACCTTGCTTTTGTGGCAATTGGATGAGGCACGTAAATGTAGTTGTTTTCTGTACAAAAGTTCAGGAAGGTTTGGAAACATCCATCAAGAATCTTTTCAAACAAACTTTTCTTAATAACAATAATGTCATGTGTTGATTGAATTTTTAACCTGGTTTGATTAGTCCTTGAGTGTAAAGAATTCCCACACACAATTTATGGTACGGTACAGTTGAACCTCGTTAATAAGAGCACTCTCAATACAAGAGGCTGCATATACCAAGGAAAATCATAGGTCCCAATCCTTTGTTTATCATTGTTTTATTCCTGATAATACAAGGTTCCTGTTATAACAAGGTAATTTGCCAAGTCCGAAGGGTCTCTTATTAACAAGGTTTGACTGTACATGCAGAGTGCAGTGTACAGTAAAGTTGCATGCATCTGTTAAAAGTTTGTAGATGACATGTACAAGTGAGTATTGTTGAAAAACACTAATAACCATGATAAAGCAGGTACTCAGATCCCTACCAATCTGGGTCATGGTCAAAAGCAATTTTCATTGAATAATGGAGGATGCAGACCCATGGACAATATCATCATGTACATGTACATGTACTTGGTCACGCTTCCTGAAGAATGGTCAGATCCTGGTGCACATGTACATGTAGCTCCATACACTTTTAATGAGCGTGTACGACATGCACACTGTACATGTAGAGGACAGTGATCGGCACAGTTGCACATGTACATACATGTACATGTACTTTTGTCTAACCCTCCTTTTGCTGTAACAAGTCACAGACAGTGAAACATTCCTTCCGCTTGGTTTGCCACAGTACACAGACACATTCAGTGGGCATCACTCGACTGATTTTGACAGGTGGGACAAGTTTGTCAAGAACGCATCTCTCCACATACCCTTAAATATTGTGTGGATTGGTCACATGCCATCAGGTGGTGTAACCCAGGGTGTTGTATTTGTCATTTGTTCTTTCCTGAACAAACACATACATGTATTATACCAGTACATCTCGGGATAGTAGAGTGTGCCAAGGTGCACACGTGTACAAGTGTAGATGTGTGGAACAGCTCGTTACATTGTATAACCTGCCAACACAAGGGCTGTAGTGGAAGAAGTTGAAGTTGAAGAAGAAGGCCTCTCAGAATAAATTTACTCATCAGTCCGGTTTAAGCAGTTAACAAAAGTACATACTATAAATTTAGTTGATTCAGTTTTGCAACCACAGAGCACAACATATATCTACAAGTCCGTGAACTTCAGTCTCTGATGCCAGAGAGTTGTTGGCATCTTGGACATTATTCAGAGGAATTTGAAAAACATTAGTCAACCATACATTCAGTTCATGTGCATGTGCGTGCTTGTGAAAAGAAGAAAAACTTGAATGTGGGTTAATGGGGTTAAAAACCATTGCAGTTGAAGTCACTGACTGAACAGCGGAAAGGTGCATGTCCTGTGGAGTTGTTCCCTGTTGACTTACTCAGCACAGTAATCTCAGTGTGATCAACCCTCATCAGTCCTGTAACAGACCATGAATGCTATCAACTGATTTGTCCACAGACATCATGTGATTTGGGAAGCTGTTGGCAAATAAACAAATGAGCCTTTTTTGTTGGGTCTGATTGGTGTAGGGCTATTTTGGGTATGCAGTGTACATGTGCCGGTACCTCGGATGCTGTGAAATTCTTATGGTGTTTGCATGTAACCCAGACCTTTATTTGAAATACAGAAAGTTAACAATGTTAGCGAAACATTGAGGCAAGTTTAGGACAGAGAATGCATGCATACTAACATTTTCAAAAGTTGAAACCAACATGCATGTATACGTACATATTTATGGGAGTCGGCCAGTCATAATACATGTACTTGCAACATCAAAAACATCTGATTTTAAAAAAAGTCAACCATTCAAAAAAAATCATCATAGACGGTGCACATACACGTAGCATACTGGATATTTAATCTTGTTCTCAGGACTTTGTGACATTTGGACCTTTTTTTTTTACATTTCATTGCAGAAGATGGTGCACATTTGGAGACAAGCAATGCTGAGCTGCCTCGCTGTGCTTACGATGTGCCTGTACTGTTGCAAGGATGTCTTGAGCATTGGTATGTAAATGTATCAGTACACTGTACAATATAACATAGTTTGACCCATTGTGTTGTGCATGTTGCACTTTAAGCCTTATTCCCCAAGGGTTGCTGGCCCTAACCTTCCCCATTTACACAAAGTTAAACGCCCATATGGGACTTTGTGCACAGAGGCTGTTGGACTTTGTTTTTCTGAGGCATGCCAAACCCAATGCAAAAGCCAGCTGTTATGGGCCTACCAGACCTATCCCCACAGAATTAAACACTTCACTACTGTTTTATTCTGTGTGGTTGGGGAAGGTTAGGGTTAACGTAGGGATGATATAGTAAAGCACCCAGTATCTTGGCACCTTACATCAAAAGCCAGAGTACCAAGTACCTCACATCAAATGGAATTTGTACAGACTATAATCCGGTGAGGTGCCATTGTTACTTTGGGGGCACTCTCATCAATGTAGATCTATATGGCTGAGTTGCCAGTAAACTTTGGAAACTGCCCCATTGCATGCCAACTGTTCTAATTGAATGGGAACTGTTCTGAGCTCTGAGTTTTCAAAGGCCCAAAAATCTCAACATTCTGATTTCCGTAAGATAAATACATGCTCATGAAAAAGTCCCGGTGTTATTTGCCCCCTCCCCAAAAAAGAGGGTTCTACTTGCTACAGTACATCAAAAATGGTTATTGATGTACATGTAAACACTTTCTCTCGCACAGCTGCTTGTTTTGCTGGGGGCTCCTACAAGGGTTGTTCTGATTTCTGATGTTTCAAGACATGCCATTGGTCTTTAAAGCATGGAGAATCTAAAGTGATTAAACTTGGTACCACCACAAATTCTAATTCAGAATGCATTTCTAAGGGTCACCTACTGTGTTCTTAATTGTACATGTACACATGTAGTTTTGGGATTCAGGCCACCTGCATAGTGTATATTGTATGCATTGGAGACCCCACAGCGATGGACAGATTTGGGGTCATAGCTTTACACAACTTTGTATGTCCAGCCGGGGCAACTTTCCATGCAAGATTCCAGACTCAAACCCACACCCACTGTGCAAACCTGTGGCACACCTCAATAGGAGGTCAAAGTGTCAAGTCCAGTGGGCACCAGAGTCCAAATAAAAGTGGCTGCATTCTGAGCTAGTTACAGTTTAAACAGGTGGTCAGGGATTGAACTCCTATGTGTAGATCTACATGTACATAAGTTAAATTAATTGTTCTTCACAAGCTGTGAAATCCCAAAGAATGTAAGATGTATTTCAGTGTGCATGGTTGCTCATTGAAATCCTACCACTGACTCATGATTCGGTCACAGCTTTCTGCTCCTCAAAACCACAGACATATTTACAAGTTTATCGGCACATCTCCATTCTCACATTTAGTCTGTACATGTACAATGCCTTTAGGCTGCATAAATAAGCACTCATCTAGGTAGCTGAAATCAATCATCAGCCTCCTGATGGAAAATGTACGTGTCAAAATTTCTATTGAACAATACTGGTGATTTGCTCTATTCGATAGAGTAAGGGTAATTCATTATTGCAAGGTTACCAACCTTCCCTCAAAAGTTGTGACACATCATATCTGCAGAAATACACCCCCCCAATAATACATGTACATGTGTACCAACTGGGAAGTGGCCTAGTGGGTAGAGTTCATAGCTTGGCATAGGCACAATCGTGGGTACCCTTTTTTTGTTACAAACCTGAGACAATTATGAACAACAGAGCAATGCGGGATACGGTACATGTACGGGGAACTCATACTCGATGAATGTGTAATCTCACCACATTGTTTGAAAATAGTGTTCATACGTGTACATTTAGTGCAGACACCCGGATGTACGCTTAATTGTGGGTTTGCGCAACTGCCAATCAGAGGACTAGCAGCTGGAATCCAGCCGTTGGTCCTTACATGTAAATTTGCCTTTTTCCACCCACAAGTATGAATTGGTGTAAAGAAGATGCATGCCTGCTAACACTGTGGTAGGTTAAATTGCCAACCATTCTGAATGCTGCTGTGGTGAACTTCTCATGCAGCCCCACCATCTTGATCCAAGAACTTGCCAAAAAACACACTCGCCCATCCTCTTACATGAAATGTTTACTTGTACAGATGCTGTGTACCGGATACAATTTATATATTCTTCCTTCTGTTTTGTTTATTTTGTCTCTTTATAAAGGACGAGATAAAGATTGGCTCAACTTTAGTTTTGTAATGTACATGTATTACCACCTGATGACCTTACAGTATGTACATGTACATATGTTGCATAACTGCATTATCTCTGTTGTCTTGGTAGCAATGTACTTACATGTACCCTGTACATGTACATGTGTGTGCAACAAAGGAGCTGTAAGGGTTGCTATGACACCTGTACTTACCAGTATCTTTGTTTTTATATTTTCATATTTATCGGAGATATATGGTCATTTACTGTAGAATGACATTCAGATCACGTTAACCATCAAAATCCGCACACATGCCATAGATACGTGTACATGAAGCGGTACATACCAGCCACCATTCTAATCAACTGAACCGACTATTTCTGTATTACGGTGTAGGTACATGTACATTTATGTGAATGGTCTCAAAGATTAAAGGAAGATTAATCATTGCATGTACATGTACCATCCATGTAGGCCTACATACATACGTGTAGCTACCAATAACAGGTACGTACATGTACATACATGTATACTGTGCGGTACATGCGTATATGCCCCATGGAAAATGTTGTGGCCCTGCCCTGGTTAATTGCAAGTATGTGTACTGTGTATACTTGTGTGCATTTTAAAAACCAAAATAAAACACAAATACTGCACAGGTACCAATACAACCTAACTGGTACATGTACCGGTACATGTGAGCAACCTTGCCTTTTTTTGCGATGATATTTTTGCCCTGGTAAACTTCAAGTACATGCAGTGTAAGTACTTTTTTAAACCCAAAACAGAAATACAGGAAAAGTGAGCATGTGAGCAGCCTTGCCGTGTTTAGGATAATTCTATCAGGTTTACATGGACAACTTCTTCTGTACCAATCGTAATGCCTAAGTCAGAGCCTGTAATTACTTGTAAGTTGTAAGTCTGAAAGGATATTTTTCAATTTCAAATGTGATTGACTCATGCAACAGGGTGTCAAAATTGCAGCGTTGTCTAAAATTAAACAGGGTTTGATTTCCTTGTATATGTACATTATGTACACTCTTACATGCACCTGTTGTTGAAGACTGCAAAAATCTGCCAATTAAGCACTGGCCTGGAACTTAATGAACTCATTTTCTTGGTTCAGTGCAGATTTTAAACCTGTCATAGCCACTGCTGTTATCTACAAATGCCAAACCACAGCAAGAAATGGGTTTTAGACTCTTCTATCCCCCACTGAATATTCTCATCAATCCTTTGGTTTTGTTGCCTCTCGATTCTGTCTGTGCCTAGATTGCAACAGGACCATAACCATCACCTCGTCCAACAGAAAGGGTCTGTTCTCCTCCTACCTGTTCCCTTCCTCTTACCCCAAGCTGCCCGAGGCCTACTCCTGCTGGTTGACCCTCATCCCGGATGACCCCAGCAAGTACATCCAGCTCATGTTTGAAGATTTCCACCTTAGCAGCGAGTACGTGCACCATGAAGAATGCGACGCCGACCAGTTTGACTACTTGGCTGTAAGCACTGTTTGAATTTGAATCTAGTGCGCGAGTGCGTCATCAGATCCCACGCGCAAGAGACCAAATCGGCAGCATTTTGTTTTAGTAGAAACCAGAAATCTAAATCGTACGTGTACATGTAACTTGATTCCACACCCTAGTGGGTAGCCCTAATCCCCTAGGGGGTAGCCCTAATCCCCTAGGGGGTAGCCCTAATCCCTTAGGGTTTATGTAATATCCTGTTGCAAATGGAGGATTGAGGACTGCTGGGTGAAGTTGAAGTTGTTTGGCGTCACTTCTTTTATTCACTATTGGCAAGGTAAAGTTTAACAGACATGTGGGCGGTGGCATACAAACTCCCCCCCCTTCCTCCTCCCCAACATACCGGTAGGTATGTGGTCCTCAGATGCCCTTTCCTCCATTTGAAATCTTGAAATGAACACAACCTCAATACGAGCTGCAGTTCACCTGCTTTCAGTGCCTATACTGAATAAGTATGGTACACCCACTGGTGTACGATTCCCCACCCCCTCCCACTGACATCCACCCAGTTACGTCACTGTGTGTACATGTACAGTATGTCATTCTTGCCCCAGATATACTCTGACTCCACAGTGGCTAGGTACTGCGGCTGCCGTAGACCAGACATGTTGATTCATGACGGTGGGGAAGTCAGGCTGGAGCTGCACGTCAGGCCCGCTCGCATCGAGGAGTCGGAATTCAGGGGATTTCAGGCCCGATTCCTGTACCTCACCGCCACGGAGTACGTGAATCTCGGCGACGTCTATTTGTGTGAGTGCAGGGAGACATTGTGCAACAGCAAGGCCTTCGCTGTCTGAGTGTTTTGTGTGCTCGAGTTCATGTCAATCACAACGCTGGGCAGCTTGGCATTCAGGGGGGAAAAAGTAACGCTGAATATAAAGGGTCACAGCTGACAGAGTCACCATTGTCACCAACTGCTCTTTAAATGATTATAGTTGAAAAAAAAAACAAAAAAAGAATTGCATTGCATTGACCCCTTTAACCCTAACCCCTAGGGACCACTGAAATCCTGCATAACCTTGTTGGGTTCAACATGGTTAGGGTTGAGGCTTTTTCAAAAGTTGATCTGATGACTTCTGACTAATTCGTTATGCCGAGTCACACCTTTCACTGGTTCTCAAAGGGATGGCAAGAATACACAAAGGCACATAAAATTGCCACCAACACAACCAGGAGTTATTCAAAGACCGAGAGTTGAGTCATAGGCCAGTAGGTAGCTTTTGGCAATGTTTACATTTAATAGCCAGTTGGTAGCAACAACGGCTGTTTTTTACTTAAAGTGTGTGATTAGGGCACAGCTATATAGATGACATTGCCAAGTGCATGGCAAAGCACATGCAGTCTAGTTCAAATTAGACATGAGGCCTGTCTCCACAGACATCTTGGACTGCTTTTGTGTGTGTTTAAAACCAATGAGGGATTAGCATGCACACACGTCCACTGATAGCTACTTGGGGCAAGCGTGGCAGTTAAGCCTGTCAGTCATCCCTGCCCCTGCAGGTTGTCAGATCTTGTTCATTCACCTTCCGCTGCAAACTGCTTTAGCTTCGAAAGAATGCGCTCATTATTTTTTATGCGCGACATAAGGGCCGTTATAACTTCTGCTGCTGTTCATCCGTTGAAACTCAGTAGGTGTCAAATAATTTCTGATTAGACACTGGTAGAAAGAGGATGTATTTTAAAACATGTTTTAACCCTTTCCACTCCCAATTTTAGGTTGATATTTTTTTTTTCAGACTCTGCAAAACCAGATATTAGCAATGGCTATGGGACTGTGGATGTTTCCATTCAACCCTTGCCGGCAGCTGTCACTGCCAGAGTTATAGATGGCCTCTACTACATAGAAGCAGCCCCTGAAATGAAAATCTACCTTAAAGCATACAGTCAGTATTGCAGTGTTATACATGTACTGTGATTCCTCAAAATGCACAGTTGTGTTCCTTCTGAGACTATTACATATCTGTACCATTTGATACATAATGTTGTTTTTAAAGTGCTGTTCAAAAGGCAATGCATATTCATAGTCGATAAGGTAATTTATGCATTGTTTCCGGTTCCAGACCATAGAATTCCTGTCAAAAGGTCTTGTCAACAAAACTGTGAAAGCAAAGCGACTGACATCAGAAAGGTGTTCACACCAAAAGTCACCAGAGTCAAACATGGTCCTTCTTGAGAATTTACAGTTCAGCATACTTTCAAACAATGTTTAAGCAGACTCTGAATTTACTGTAACGTGACCACCATCAAATGAAGCATCTGAAGTTTCTTCCGTCTTTGTGTTGCGGCCAACAGTTCATAATGCCGATCCCAACAGCGGCCCGATTGAGGTAAGAGATGGACTGACATCCCTGTCCCCCCTCTTGTACAACGGCACCCTGGAGCAGCAGACAGAGGTCACCTCCACCCAGTCGTGTCTCTACATCCGCTGGCGTGGGACCATACGAGACACCACGCTCACCTTGGATATGGCGTTCACTGCCTTCAAAGAGCCAAGTAAGTCCACCTGGCACACGCCACAGATTGGCCAGGGGAACGATTGAAGAGGACGCAGTGCACAGGTCCAGTGACATTCTGCTGGTGCTGAAATCTGAGATTTAAGTGAATTCAGCTCTTGAAATGAAGTAGCATCCGGCAGTGCTCAAAGTCCTGGCGTGATGTTCAGATTGTAGGTGTTTATGGCAAGATTATTTGAATAGTCGCTCACTGTTCTGCCATGTTCTGTTGACATGTTCCATGTGGTACATAAATGAAATTTGTAACAGAGAGACAACCGTTTTCTTACAAACTCAATCCTAATCTAAGCACACATACAGTGTATTCATGTAAAGAGTATGTACACTATCTCCATTGCCCTGATCAAACCATACGGTATGAGACCCACTCTATGAAAATGAGCCACATGTTTCCAGAGTCATTTTGAATTTGGCCTTTGAAAGAATCTTGCACAGTGCTTAAGCAAGAGGAATCCTCAACATTTCAACATCTACACAACGTCCATTTTCATCGTACCAAACTGAGTGATACATCAAAACAAAGAGCTCAAATTCCTCTATCTTATACGAAGTAAAACTCAAAAGTAGCTCCGGAGACTCACTTTTACAGAGCGGGTCACATATGTGACCCATACCAACAAAGTGAGTCAAGGTCAGGGAGAAGTTTTCCATTGCTGGTCTCTCATGCAGTTCTTTCGACAATTTGTTTCTGGATTTGATTTTTGGGGGCTGCAGTAGGAAACCTGTCAACATTTTTATCTACATAGTGTCTGCATACGTCAAGCTGTCAAACCGTGATGTGTAAAAGCAAAACACCAACAGTGAACCTGTCCAAACAAAGAGCTAAGGACACTGTTACCAAAGCGTGTAAAATGAACAAGTAGAAAAGTTCCTAACCTCAGGTGTTCACAAGACACCCTGGTGATATCAAAAGCCAGCCCAACTGAAATTGGCATCCCACTGAGTCACCCCACATGTGAATGCTATTTGTGACATCCATGTACCACTGGGCTCTGAGTCATCATCCTTGTTGCTTATAAGTCACACAGTATACCCCCTGCTTGTGTGATACTGGCAGTTCACATGACGTACAATCATTTTGACAGCACTTTCATTTTATTCTGCATTTTGTCATAAGATTCAAGTTGCGTTGTGAGAAAAAGTACTCTTGAAGCTGTTTGCATGTAATCAGGCAGTTTGCCTACTGGTCTGAGCTTATTTATCTCTTATTCATCATCTCTTAAGGTTCACCGGGTGAATGCACTGTTGGGAACTTGTATTTCTACTGCAAGAACCACCGTTGTATAAGGAGTACACTGACATGTGATAACATTGACAACTGTGGTGATGGGTCGGATGAGGCACGGAACAGTTTCAGTGATGTCTGTCATGGTATGTGCTGATCGTAGCTGGCAGAGTTCCAACAGTAGACCTAGCTCTTTGTAAAGTAATCTCCCCTGTGGTAACCTTTGCAATGAATGTGTTTTATGCAACTCACCAGTTCCTCGTGGTTCATAAGTACACACATGTGGCAGGGAAGTCACGAGTGCACATCTGTCAGAGAGAAATGATATGAAATCCTTTGTTACTATGTCCAATACTGGGGTTTGCAAAGAATTTTTCGATATGCCCCAGTTGTTACTGGTGCCCTTTGCAACCAAAAATGTTCAGGACTGGAACTAGAAGTGTGATGAATTTCTCTCAAAGTTTTTTCTCTTCGTCAGTGTGAGAAAACTGTTACTTAACTGGGGTTAAGCATGTTGAAAAGTGCATTTTTTTCAAACATCTTAAATTTTCTGAGCTTTTACAAACAAATGAGGGTACTGTTACTGTGAAGTTATTCCAGAGAGGACACTGCTCACATCGTAGATTTTTCTGTCCATCTTGTGAACAGCAAATTTGCTCCCTGAAAACACTTCCAGGAAAGGGTTGGTCCTTGTTCATTTCCGTGTCACGCAAAGAACAATGAATCACCAAAGAAGACAAATTTAGACCAGCAAAATGTCAGATATTCCCCCAGTCTTTGTGCAGACATCGGTGAAACAGGTTTTTCTTTCTTGATGACATCACCATTTGCTCATGAATATGGAAATGGGCACCAGCCTAAAACACAAAAGGTAGCAAAGTACATGTACTTTTTAAAGTACCCCAAACAAACTTCAAAATCAAGTTGATGAAATATCAAAGGTGCATTTTGAAGGACTGCACTAAAACAGAATTGCAGTGCAGGGACTCCATAACTTACAGCTAGAGGTCACGTAAATGTATCTCACGGTCGGTATTTTTTTGTCAATGAATGTTTATGCGCTTATAGTTGGCCATCTTCTGTCCTATCTACATGTATTACAGAAGATGTCTGTAACCCCTCTCCCTGCCTCAATGGTGGGTTTTGCAGCGCACCAGGGCCTTCCTGCAGGTGCCCCTATGGGACCTATGGCGAGTTCTGCCAATTCAGTAAGCGTAAAGCAATCTTGTCATTAGGTCTCCTAAGGCGGATTCAAACAATCCAGACTGTTAAAGCCAAATCACCAAGAAACGTAATTCTTGAGTAAATCGGGGATCAGTTTAATTGGCTGCCTCAGAATAATTCTGGTATTTCGGTAGAAGATCCCGAAAGGTGGGGAAGCATTCTGACAATTTTGGACAGGTTCAAAATTGTCGGGGTGATTGTCGGTGTCGAGGATAAATTCATGTTCACTTTCATGCCAGTGTCTGCTGCCTATCTGTTCCACTATTAAGTCAACAAAGGAATTAACATATATTAGAAGTACCGGTAAAAGCAAAGTTTTATAACAGCTAAATAGGCTGGTTTCTTGACCTACTGTTTAATGAATTAAAGAATTAGAAGGCAGGGGCATGACCTGGCATAATGATTTATGTAGACATTTCTCCACCTTTGGAATAGCAGAATACATATAGTAAGGAGTGTCTTACACTGTACATTGAGAGCAATGTTTCATGTCTCTCTAGGGACAATACATTTGCACAACTGACCATTTGCATTGAAGAATGTTTTTTCCCTTTGTTTTTGATTTAGCGAACATGGACTGCTCGTCCATGCCATGTCAGAATGGAGGAACATGTGAGCCCAGGTCTGATGGGCCCGGCTTCATTTGCTTTTGCCAGGGAAATTACCTGCAGCCATTCTGCCAAGAAAGTAAGTTTCTCGGTATATTGAGGCTTTGCGTGGTAGCCATCTTGCAGGGCAGTTCTTTTTTGTTCCATAGGGGAACTTCCTCTGGGCATACTTCTGTGGACCAAAAGTGCCAGCCCTCAAGATGGAAGCTATGCAAACCCTCTATGGCTGTCTTTTATGGAGGACTGTTTTCCCCTCTGTAAAAACAGTGACATCACTGTCTCGTGTGAAAATTCAGATGTAGGTTGTTGTGTAGTACCAATTGCCTGTCAGAGGGTTGAATCTGACCTTTCATGTCACCTTGTACACATCTCTTCAAAATATTATCCCAACTGCTTTAACCCTTGCGATACTTAATTCAAGCCGATTCAGCATTTAAGCGGGGGGATTCTTTTGACCGTGATGGCTGGGCTGCGGTATGCCCAGTATGCAAAGCTCTGTCCAGCAGCAGGCCCCATTGAACCAGCAGCTGCATGGAGAATAGACTGTATGTGTGGTATGCACTAATCCTCACACAAAGCCACGGCTGTGGACCGCTCCTGGTATGAAGGGGTTAAGGGTTATTTCTACACAATGACACATGAAGCAGACTGTGTATATAAGATGGATAATACGTGGAAGGAGGTCAGCAATCACTTTCTGCAGTAACTACCGGTACCTTTTTTTACCTCTTGGACTCAACAATGGGATATGAATGGGCTTTGTGCCCCCTCGGGATCAGATGACTCAATCGTACAAAACAAAGTTGCTGCTGACAGCATTGTATGCTTGATGCTCATCAATTTCTTTATGCCAGGTGACGTATAGGCTGAGTTTGGGTGGCATGTTCCCGTATGTTCACGAACAGCTCGATTTGATGTTCGTGGGTCAGCTGCTCAAACACCAGGAACAAACAAGCGGTTATCACAAGCAACATGCAACATGGCGGCGTCCATGTATGTTATTCAAGAATTAAGGTTTGGATGGGCTGAACTCCTCTCTATATAAACAGGAACATTCATTTCTGTTTTATGGAAAATAATTAATGTTAATTTGGCAAAATTTCCCATTGTCTACATGGTCTATGGCTTTGGAAGCCATCTCTCTGCTTTTTGCAGCTGTTCAAAAATCAAAATCTCACAAGTTTTTCCATGTGTTCCTATAAAACCCTGACGAGGAGGTGGTGTGTGGTCCTGTTCCGAGAACAGTGTTCTTGAGTCGTGTTCCCGCTGTTCGAGCAAGAGAACAAGAAACCCGTGTCAAGAACAGGCCGCCCGAACTCGACCATAAGTGCCCAGGGATTCCCTGTGTTGCAACATAGAGGGCGTTTAAAAACTGTTCTGGTTAATTCTGTATGCAGTGCCGGGTGACGTCTGTACTCGTTCCCACACTTGAGTGATTGCCAGTTAGGTTGTGCAGAGGCCTGAGCTTATCAGTGGGGGGTTGAGTGTTTGTAGAGCCCTCGGATAGCTGCCTGCCACGCAGCAGGGCATCGTAGCAGACGTTGCTTCATGATAGTGTCTCAGAGTTTTGTGGAAATAATGATGCAGAAAGGAGTGTCACACAAATCTTGAACACAGGTCAGCAAAGGGTCAGCGCTGTTAAGAAATTGGTATCTTGTCATTTGCAAAAAGCTGGTGTTTCCATCCCCCATCAGTGAGTGGTTAACCCCGTCAGTGAGTGGTTAACTCTGTCAGTGAGTGATTAACCGCCCTGTGTCATTATACACAGGCACTCCTTGCCGGCCGGGTGACTGTAAAGAAGGGAGCTGCATCGATGGAGTGTGCAAATGCCCAGAAAGATATTACGGCAACCGCTGTGAATTCATTGGTAAGTGTGCATCCTTGTTTGGTGTGTAGCTTTGACCTGTTTGTGCTCCAGTTTGGCTTTATTATTTAAGATATTGTTCTGGGTATTTAAAGAAAACACTCTGCTTTTTGTTGTGCCGTGGTATTATGATGCTCGTTTGACAGGAAATAAGAATGTGTAAAAGTGTGAGCAGGCATGGTACCTGCAGTTTGGACCTCCGCATAAAAGAAGTCCACATAACGTAGTATGCCGTGACGTTGGATGTATTGGTGGGTGTGCACAACGAACCGCCCAGATCCTTCCAAACCCTGGGCAAGGTCTTGGAAAATAAGATCATGACAGCTTACAATGCTCATCCATTGTAATTAAAGGGGATGGGTCATGTAGGGTTAAATTATGACGTTGTGTGATAGTTTTTCAACCGTCATATATACAAAAAGTTGGATTAACCCCTCTTTTATGTCATTAAATCAGCAAGAATTGACGTTTTCTGTATGCTTTTTTCAGTCTTTGCCTGATTTCTTCATAAAAACTTATCAAAGTTGGTCAATGGGGGCAGCAGACAAATCTTGGTAGAAATGTGTCATCATAGGGTGGACTCGACTTTCCAGACCAGAATGCATAGTTCTGGCTAGCAAGTTGATCGGTCCGCACAAGAATAATATTCTCTGCTTTGGCGCATAGTCCGGTACGTAACTCATACGTGTCAAGTCAACCACATTTGGGCTTGTTTCCTATGCCCTTCTCTTAACATGGGGGCAGAGCTATTGGACAACTAACTAGACGCGTTGAGTTCATTTTGTTTTACATCGCGCCGTACACATGTAATAATTTCCATCGTGAATTGTGAATTTCGAAAGAATGCCTATAAACTCTGTTGTCAGTGGCTGTTGTCGCAATCAAAACAATTCCTCGGAGAGCAGTTTTGTAGATTCCCAAGCGATTTTACACACCAGTGTTTGCGGGTTAGATTTGTGGATAACACATAATCAGCTTTTTACGAGGACTCAAAATTCCAAAATACATCATGCATGTTTATGTACTGTACTGACACATACATGTACAGGCATACATGAACTACGCGTAAACAATGTAAAATGGGACTATATTGCACTGGCGCACATGGACTATTTTCTGGTGCAATTAATGCCCTATGTAATACGGTTGTCATGCAACGCATTGATGCCAAGCAAGTGACTCGCAGTGCACGGTGAAAAAAAATTGTCGGAATGGAACACCAACTTTGTCCCAAGTAGGCCAGCCTATATACATGGACAAAAAAATACTTCTACTATACCGCTTTCGAATAGCCAATGGTAGGACAATTACGTCTAATGGTGCAGGAAAAAATCATGACCCAGTCAGTGTCTTGTTGTCGATCCTCCAGGTCACCGCCATGCCCCTGGCCAACAGCCTCGAGTTGCAACCTGAGTGTATTCTGGTTCAAAACTGATAAAGCAATATTTCTTGTGCCTCATCAGCTCCTTCAGTGTCGCTTTCTTTGTCAAATGAATAAGACGAACATGACAACTGATCGCTGTGATCAGAAAAAGCATCAATGCTGGAATTATCGTTGCTTGAGTCTGACATGATGGCATACGCTAACGCTACTACATTACGTACGTAATCAACACGCCGTTGCGTAACATTAAACAGTCACCGGATAAAGGACTCCATCCTATGAGGTCACAATTCTTGGGCATTTCTTCAGACAACTTTCTGTACCCGACGGCTGTTGTTTAGCTCCCAGAAGGGAGTGAAATAGGGTCATGAAAACCATAATTTTTAACATACTTCTGCGCATTTTGAAATTATGTAGATGTGTTTTTTGTTGTGTATATATGTTTTATGTGTTGATGCATGTTTTACAAGAAATCTTCCCAGCACAGCCCATCCCCTTTAAGCCTGATCGCTGTCAATGTGTAAAGTTCTTTACCATAAAGATCCTACACATTAGTAAAGTTTTGGGGGTATTTGGATTTAAGAATATTTATGATGATTGCATGGCAGTGTTTCATATTTAAAAAACAAAGGTTCCCACCCTTAAATGAATGTTTGTTTAGCGGGCTTTAATTACCCTTACTATCCCAAATCCTTCAAAATCCTCCAGGCAAGTTTGGTGGATTGAGGCTGCATGGCAAAATTGCAAATTGCTGATTGCAAAGGATGCATTGTCTCAAGATTGTGGGTTAGACCTTGTGTTGTTTATGTTCAGCCATGCCTAAATTCGCGCCCACAAATATATTTGAAATCCTCCATACTGCTCCAGGATACCATTCACACTGCCTCAACACAATGAGAGGAATTGCCTGAGGATTTGAAGGATTGAGGTAGTGGGCACCCCTCCACGGAACTTCTACAAGAAATATTGGAGGATTTTTTGAGGACTGAGGCCATTCCCAATTTTTCACGGGGGGTGGGGGGGGCAGTTGGAGGATTTTGAAGGATTGAGGGTTTGTGCTCTGAAAAGAACCTAGGCAATAAGGGTTAGACATTCAAGACCAAATTAGGAGAAGGGATGCCAATTAATTAATGGTCCATGTCAAACCCATTCATAAATACCTATTGAGTCATATAGATTGAGAAAATCATAACAAGTGATATTGTTCAACAATTATACACTTTATGTCATAGTTTTCTCAAATACCTCTCTAGCCTTGTTACGGTATGTCCCTCTCACAAATTAGTCGGAAACAACTTCCTTACATGGAGATTGGTGCTCGTGTGGGTTGGTGCGCATGAGATGGTGCAGAATGCCGATAAACCAGTGCAGTGTGAATTTTAGACTCCCAAAATATGGTGGCATTGGTAGTACTGTGCAAACCAAGAGACAGACTGCGAACATTCGACCAATACAGCAAAGAAAGGACCACATTTCATAGGAGTCTGGAATTTCATGTAAAACCAAAAAAGTGTTTCGGATTATAAGACAGTCGGTGCTTTATCAACCGTTTCAAACTGGCCATGTGGCTGGCTTCATTCCAACAGGAATGACAAATGTGTCTAAGGTGCCTGGACATACACACGTACATGTATTTATGAATTAAAAATACAAATTACATGTACATGCAAAAAGGTTTATAAAAGACAGTTGATATTTAGCTGTCGCAAATTTAACCACATGGTATTTATCCGGCTACCAGTAGACAGGGCCCCCTTTGATGCATACATGTATACACGAGTAAGCCCATCAAGGTTTTCAAATTACATGTACTACTAAATTCCAAGTAGGGTTATTGGTCTAGTGGATAGCACACAACTTGATTTCATACGATACTGTTTTAGCTGGCTTTGGTGCCCAGCTGTTTTTCTCTCTTTTTTTCCATCCCCAAAACTTAAGACTTGTCTTCTTCGGTTCTTTTTGAATTGAGTCCTACATTTACTACATTTACTTTTGCTGAATCATGGCTCTGGAGGATGTTTTTTTAAGGGAAAAACATCCGATATTGTAAAATGGTCTTATTCCCACCTTGTGAATACGAAGTCACAATGACTATGTTGGTGCAGAATGAGACTAAGACTTTTCACAGTAAGCATCTGTTTGTCAAAAAAACAGTTACTTCAATTGTCCTGGCAAAATATCATTTAGTTAAACTTGCCGGTGACGGCTACATGTAATTATACAGTGCCTCTATAAAAATGTGTGGACATATATGAGTAAATAAAATTTTCAAAAAAAGACTAATCAAATAAGGTAAAGATATGGATTAAGAAATGCATGTAGCAAAAACCTGTCCATATATAAATATGTCAATCTCTCTTTGAATCTTCCTGCTCTAATGTTGTTGATACATACATGTACATTGTACATGTACCGGTAGCAGGATAGAGCTGAATTGACCAGATACTTCTGACATATTGTACCTATTTAGTACATGAGTCAACCCAGAAATGAGTACAAATCGGATTGTTTCAATTTTCAGAAGAAAAACAAAAATTTCAAAACAGAAGTCTTGCGCATCGCACATTATCAGGGAAGTGTGCTCATCCCCGATCAGCATAATACTCCCCAGAGTATGATGACCTGAAGATTGTACACATTCCCAAGACCCGGTTCATGTACGTCATTGGATCGAGGGGGAAATCATTGCCACAGAGGTGCACAACGATGTATGCGACGTGATACAAACCACCCAACAGCTGTGTGTTCACTCGTAGACTCATCCGATTAGACGCCGTAACTGCAGTGGCACTGCACCAACACGCACTTTCCTCGGATTGGCGTGTGCGCATTTGGCAAATCGCGACACCCTATTGGTACTTTTAACAATGCAGTGATAGTTGGACCATGCGCTTGGCTTTATGAATGATGCACTTCAGCACACGCATCATTAATATACACTCTGGAGTGTAATCATTAACAATCGTACCTTTTAAACCACAGTGCATAGGTTGAAAACTGGATATAAATTTACTTCATGCTTGGGCAGTAAAAGAGGATGATATTTATTCTGTGGGATGGTTGACAGTAGAGCCAACTGAAAATTCCTAGAAAGAACAGAAAGGAGCCGGAACCCTGATAATTGTGCATTCTGTTCAGTGTTCACTATGATTAAATGCGCTTAGCTACATTTTGTCGCAGTCTGATAAAGTTCTTTTTTTTTCAAGCAGAACCTGTGGCATCTCTGTTAACTTCAACAAATACACTGTCATAAATTGTTTGCCAGGAATGTACCTGTGCAAGCTCTCCCCAAGGGTGTGAATGAAGGTCGTAATCTTTGCCTGTCTTGATTGGCCTTGACCTGTTATTATTGAAGTTGTCAAAGCATGTCATGACTTTCATCTGTATTCATAATTCAGGACGAAGGCACAACAATGCTGCAGCTCAGATGCAGTCAATTGTGTCTTCAAAAATACTGGTCTGTCTACTTTGTTTACTCCACAGCTGCACTTTTGCCTACCAGAGGCTGGTAAGCTATGGCTGGTCATTTGAACAATAGCTAAAAAATATAAGCCACACAGTTAAAAAAAAATTCTATGGAGCTAGCAAAGCAACGAAAAGATAAATACTTAGAAATAAACTACCACAGACAGACTGAAAATAAGGGCCCTCTGTAAAAATAATGGGGCAAGTATACTTTACATTTTGGGGCAAATTGGACACCGGCCATTCTGGAAATTCTGGTCACCCCTGAATGCACATAATAGACAACATGAGAGAGGTCTACATCCCTGTGATCTAAATGTCTACGACACTTCACCTGTACTACTCACCAAATGGCCTGGGTTCAATGCGGATATATCACATAGTGCTTGCTTTTAACGCTTTTCATTACTCTGAAGAACAGTACAGGTGTTCATTGTGGCTGTATGACAAATCTGAAACAGTGCAATATTAGCCTATAAAGTTCATGCGCCGTCAAGCAGGATGAGGCAAAATAACAAAGTCCATGTACATACACATACATGCGGCCAATTACTTTTTTATGAATATTCTCTATTCTGTCATGATGTTGCTGAAGCTATCAATTGTGCTGCTCATGGCAGGATTTGTTTACGTCACGCATGAAACAGCGGTATGGCAATACTGTCACAGAACAATGGCCATCATTGCTGCCGGTACCAGCACCTGTACATGTTCACTGATGTTCCATGTTTTTACGTTGGCATGTCAATCACTTTGATTCACATGAGAGAGATACATTTGATATACTGTTGCCACTGTGTCACTCATGCAAGAGCAGTAGGATTTCCAGCACAGTGGGCATTCATAGAAGTGATCATGGTACCATGGGCAGCCATTGATGCAGGGACAAGTGTGTTCCTGTTGTGAAAGCATTACAAGTGTAAATGGTCCTCATGAAAAAGAAAATTGCTAAATCAGGATGAAATGGACAGGAAATTGTACATGTATGCTGTTGCCATTCCACTGTGATGACTGTCCGGTGACAAATGGGAGACTCCACGGCTGAGACAAGTTCCACCATGCAAAGTACAGTACATGTAAACTCTCTGTTTTGGGGGTTTTTTTCTGCCAGGATAGGGTATTTATTACATGTATATATTCATAAATACATGTACCTTAGACCGTTAACCATTCCAATTAATGGAGAGTTGAGGTGGTAAATTACTGGCTGATTGTAATCACTCAACTGGTTTCATATGAAATATATTGACGCCTATTTATGGCTAACAGACTGTACTGGTATTTACATGTACATGACAAACATCAGTGTCATGTACATGTAGGCATTCGCTATCTGACAAGTGAATCCACATTTCACGTAATGGGCACTGCACTCTATGCTAGCACAGCAGCATTCTGCATCACAAAATTCACATTACATAGCATGCCAATTTCCACACAAGATGTTTGTACTGTTTCCCATTAGGATGTTAAATGTCCTAGTGTGAAACTGCCCCGTCACGCATGGCTTTGATTGCCTTGTTAATGTTGTGCCATGTTTAACCCAGTGGGTTCTACGGCCATCTTAAATCCTAATGCAGTGGCACATGATATACGGTACACAATATGGAGCCCTATGTGTGGCTTGGCTCTATCCTGCTCGGTCTTCCACAGCCCGGCTTGTGTCAGTGGCTCCTGAGCAGCTCTCTGTCTAGGGCTGTGCTGAATATCTGAATATTCAAGCGATTATTGAATATTCGAATATTAGTTTCCAAAATTGAATATTTGAATGCAAAATTCATGAAAAGGAAGGGAGAATTTTCTTTTGTTAAAAATGAGAAAATTCGCACCATGGAGGCTTGTTTAAAGCAGATTCAAATGAAAAGTGACAGAATAAATATGTCTTACAACAATACAAAAAGTAAATTATTCATTAGAAAATTTAAAAGGAATAGAAATTTCAACAGGGCAAGAAGTATTGTTTGTCTGTTAAATCTTGCTAAATCGTGGCTTGAGATACTCCTAGACACGAAGAGAATCTATTATAATGATTATAATGTACAATTGTGTGCATTATTGCAAGCGATTTTGTATACTGTATGGTTTGTACGTTAACAATCTGCTATTCGGTACGACTGAATATTCGGATAGTCAATGGAATTAAGGTCAAATATTCCAATTGACTCAGCCCTGTCAAAGTTCACCAAGCCTTATTGTTTGCACGTGAAATAATTAAGCGTCGTTTGAATGGTGTTATGAAATATTTGCTACAGTATCCTACCGTCCCACACAGAGGCCTTAGGACTGTAAACACAGTCGGCCTCCATCAGCTGGTCCGAGTCTCTGTGTGCAAACAAATGACGAGAATCACCCAAACTGGGTGACAATTATAGACTTCATCAGCTACTGCTTAAAGAAACTGCATACGTATGGCAGGCACGACTGAGCGGTGAATGTGCCAAATCAGTACAATTAACTGGTTATCCAGTTTTGTTATCATTTTCCACTCGCACAAAGAGAAGGTAGCCTTGTTTTCTGGAACACTTTCCTTGTCTATGAGCGTCACTTAAACTGAAAGGATAAACAATTATTTCTTTTCCAGCAGGAAGACAATCATATAGATCATTTTTAAGAGGCGCCCATGTCCTGACCCCCCCCCCATTCCCCAGTGCATGGTTTGTTTGTACGCTCTTGAAACTGGTGTGAGAAAAATAGACAACCCATCTGCAACGGTTCCCCTTTGAAGTATCCAACTAGTACACTGGATATGATTGTAGTGACGCTTTGTTATCGCACTCTAGGAGGCCTAAATTTGGAGTACACAGACTCTGGACACTTAGCCTAGTTACATGTAGCCCACGGAAATGATTCACCTCCTTGCCAACAACTGATCTGTGTTGGTATACATGTACTGACCCAGATGTTACAGTAATCGGTGCTGTCAGTCAGTACTTTGTGTCATATCCACGTGGGTATTGGTTTTTGGTTCAGGGGTGATAAGCTCTGACACAGCTTTACCCCCAAGACTTGCTGTCCTGGATACAGATTTTGATGGTGGTAATTTAGATCACTGTTTTTAGTTTCCGTGCATTTCATCAGTGCACATGTACAAGTAATACCAACACGTACTGGTCAGTCTTTCTACATGTTCTTCTTTGTCTGTGGAATTTTAAGCCACTCAAATAGGACTTGGCTTCTTGCAGCTTGTATCAGTTGAATGACATCAAGTTTCTGCTGTTTGTGGTGCATAACATACATGTAGCACATGTGGCTGCTGTGTCTTTCCTGCGACTCTGCTCAGAGCGTGAAAGGCTTTAATAGTAAATGCTTTTTGCGTGGTAGGCACCTTGCTGACTTCTGACTAAACAGTCAGCCGTCTGACAAGCAATGTACAACCCTAGCATTTCCATTTACTGCATTGCAGACAACTCCACCAACACCGACTACACGGACCTGCAGCACACCAGCATCATGATCGGTGCATTTGTGGGCGCCGTCTGCCTCCTGTCCGTCTGCTGGCTCATAGCGATGGCTCGCAAGCGGCAGTCCGACGAGCCCACCGGCCGAGTTCAGCGAATAGTCAGTGTGCACAGCAGAGGTAAGGCCTTTGCTTTTAACTCCGCAAATATTGATCAACTGTGTACCGTCTCCAAATACTGTATTTTGGGATTTACATTGCTCAGTACGACACATCAAGTTTAGAAGTTAGGCATTGTCTGAATCTTGATTGAAACAGAAGTTGTCGCTGCCTGTGTACATAGGCGTGAATATATGTACACTGTATTATCTCAGTGATCAGTAATTGAATTCCACCATTTCCTTGTACATGTGCGCACATGTTACCAACAGGATGAGTTTAAACTCGCCAACACTCTTCACAGTGTTAGGGCTGATTTGGGGAATTCTCTGATGTGTCATAAAATGATTAAATGCATGTAGGTATTAAACAAAGATGACCCCAGGACTGACTGTTCCACTCAAAGCATCCAAGTACATGTAACCTCTTGTCTGAAAATTGGCTCTAAAATCGTCTTACCTCCTGACTTCTTGCATGACTTTGCATTTGTAATGTGTCTTCTGCCTAAAGACAAGTTTTGCTGGGCCGCATATACCTGTAGACAAATAGTTTAGAGACAGGAGAAAAATCCACCCATGGAAATGGTAAAGAAGGAATATCCTAAAGAACTGTCTTTCAAACAGTGAGACCCTGGAACATGTGTTCACAAAAAGAAAAGAGAAAAGGAGATGAAAGGTGCCAGTTTCCAACAAACAATGCCATGGAATCAACCTCTTCCCCCCCTTCCTCAGTTGATGATTTGTTAGTCTTCAGCTGTCAAGTGTTTTGTCCCTCCCCCTTGTGCTGTGCCGTTGCTCTGGCAACACTCATGCTGACAGAGTGTCTGCAGAGATTTGTTTGTTCAGATGGGCTTTTCAGTTTTTTGGATCTGCCTTAAACAGATGAAAGAGGGATGCGTCCGTCAGTGACGGCTGCCGGGGCCATTGACCTACCACCAAACTACTCTGACTGCGTGTTTGACGAATCCGACACCATGCCTGCTGGTAAGCGGAGCACCGTGCCCGCTGTAATCACAGAGGAAAATGAAGATGAACCCGACGGGGAAGTGTTTGCCACGGAGGAAGGGGAAGGCCCGCCCATGAGCCCACCCCCGACCTACGAGTCTGTGGCGCTGAGCGAAGACGAAGACGGTATCACATTTGAGGTCCAAAGCTTACCAGACGTCGTCAGCCAAGACAGACTTCCTCACAGACAGACTTCACAGATTGACACAGTCGTCTGACCCCAGTAAGGCTTTTTTTAGTTGTAAATGGAGATGTAACTTTACTTTGGCTGTTAACAAGATACAGGTTTTGATGGATGGGCGTTACTCCCTTTATAAGATTTTCTTTTTTTTTGCTTCCTGAGTTGTAACCCTTTGTCTTGATTGTAGAAAATGTGAAATACCTCCCTGTTGTAATGTGTACAGATTATGTTGGCAAAGAAGTCAATGTATACATTGAAACTGAAGGCGGAGGAGATTTTGTAACATTTTTACTGATGCCTTCAATTGTTTTGATATTGTCACCATATTTGAACAAGTTGTACCGTAAATAGATTTCAGTTACTGCGATTGACTCGTAAAGTTTTCCCTAACCTGCTTGTTTTGTTCAGTGTGAGAAATCCTTGATATGTGGTATAATAATCCACATGACATGGAGTACTGTGCTTTGACCCTAACCATGCTGAACCCAACAAGGTTATGCATTAAGTTGGGCTCATTCTTCTCCTGTTTGTTGATGTAATCCTTCCTTTCACACATAGATGACCCTGGAGTTGGCCAAGTGAGGTCAGTCACATGTAATGAGATGGGCCACCTCAAGTAATACAGGCGATACACAATGTAGAGTGCCATCAAGATGTTGCCATGGAGAGGCCGTTTTGTTTTTTTCAAGATTATGGTTGGCAAAAACATGGGTGACTTACCGCAACTTGCATGAAGAGCATATAGACAAATAGTTTGATAGTTAAGGGTATTCCTTCTAAGAGAAAGAAGAAAGAAGTTGTAAACCATTTTCCACAATGCACTGCGAAAAACGGCCTCTTTTTGGCAACCTCTAGGTGGCGCATTGTACCACGAATCAATCTGTCAATTTCCATTGATCTCCCAGCCAACGTTTGAGGTCAGCATTGGACAAGTCCATGTACTTTACCTTTGAAATAAATGTCAGAGAGTGGCCCCATTGTAAACAGAATGAACTTTTCCAATCAGCCCTAATGTTATCTAATTGCATTTTTGACACTAACCAGATATCAAACAAACATGTCAGAAGGGGTAATTACTGTCTGGTGACATAGGCACTGTGGCATGTGAATATGTGGTGGTGTACAGCTTCATTAGCACCCAATGTGTTTGTATTGACTGCTGATGTTTATTAAGAGACCATTCCTGATGGGTCATCTTGAAATCTTAGCTGTTCATTTCTGAAAGGGAAACTTGAACATTCCCGTTCTTTGGTCTCCTATTGCTCAGTTCTACAATTCCACTCATTCATAAATGTCCACCTTGCAAATTACAATATTGTTTTGAAATTAGAGGAACCTTCATCAAAACTACAGACCAACCATTTTCAAGCTAACCCCGCATGTACCTTTAAGCCCAAAATTATTCACACCCTTGGAAAAAAAATGTGGCAGTTTTTTTTGTTAGAACATTTAAACCAGACTGATGGTCAACCCAGGCACACAAAAACAGCATCTCCATTGCAGAAGCTCACCTGGGCACAGATCTAAGCTTTCAGTTGCTACGTCTATGGTTATTTGCTTGTAAGTTCTATGTTACAGTACCTAAATTTGGAATGAGTAGGAATAAGGTTGGGCTAAAGTGGATATGTTGATTGTAGCCACTGCTCTCATAGGAGGATTTTATCTTCTAGCAAGGAATTTGAAAAGACAAAATTATAAGGACATGTGTTCCCACATTAGTGTAGTTACGTTTCAGGAAAAAAAAAACCAACAGACACAGTTAGCATAGTATAAACGTTTTAACTACATGGAGTAACAGCTACTTGTGAATAGGTGGTCCGTCATGAATGAATTTGCATAGTGTGCCAATGGACCAAAACATTTGATCCTTCTTATTCAGTGTCCCATTTCCTGTACCCTGACTTGCAGTATTTGTGAAATATGGGCTGGTTTATTGATTGAAATGCCATGTTTTTGTCTGATCTGTGATGGTGTTTCTGAGGTTGGCGCTTTTCAGTGTTGTGATTTGGGTGTCAGTTTTTTTATACCATTGTCGATTGTTTTTGTAAATTTTGATATCTTGTGGACAATTTTGTAAAGCACCATTGAGGCTAAGAAGTCAGTTTGGATTGATTCACAATATTTACTTGAACCGGTAGGTGACATTCATTAGGTAGTTTTGTGCACACCGGAGGGTGAACATGCTGAAGTTTTCACCAAAGCACAATTCTTCCACGGGCATAAAGGGCCTTTGAAGGGTATTTTGGACCAAAACAATCACCATTCCACCAGTCGAGTTTACCGTTCTAAATAAGGGAGATGACTTGTCAACATGGGCAGATCGGCAATAATGCCTTCAGCAGATTAGTAATCTGGGATCGTTCCAACATTGGAATAAAAACTCAGTTTGTCGCCCAAGGATGTACATGCGACGGTACTGTGTGATGATACCAAACTGCAGCACATTGCATTGAACATGTAGGACCCAGCTGCACCTTTGAAAGGATCTGATCTCAGGACCTTACATCTGGAATTCAAATGAACTTCATGTCGTCTGTTAACATTTAGACACTGAAACATTGCTATCGAGGTAGTGGACCTCTGCTTACATGTACACGTATATGTACATGTGCACGCTTGCTTCTAGCAGGAGGAAAATTAGTTGCATGTGCCAGCAGGATGCCATACAAATGGATCAGAGCATGTGCAGTATATCCTTATCAACACAGTTACTACACTGTGTCACAACATGTAATGTACACTACACACATGCGTGTGTATGTGTAACTAAGTCTTACAGTAGCGTATGTCATAAATGTGCTGTATGAACTCCATGCATGAGTGCGCCCTCGCTGTTGACAATTTTAACACCTTGGCATATGGACATGCGCAATTAAGCTCCCACTAGGAATGTTGTTGTAGGATGACAAAGGCTTCTTCTCTTAATCACTCATGGAAGCCACACCCTCTGATCAAGGAGGGATTTTTAGCTGCATTGCATTCAGGTTAGGCCCACTAGTGTCCAGTGACTTTTTTCAATCAACGAAGCATTCTCTGTACAAGTACGATTTTCATTTTTCAAACAGCTTATTTTGGGGGGGAGGGGCCATTATTTTTCATGCTAAGTACAACCAACAGTAATAGAAAAACATGCTCTGAGTTCTTTGGCTGAGGCATAAACATCCAACAGCAGCCCTTTTCTATTCATCCTCCATTCCTTGCGGGAGAACGTTGTAGAATTTATCCACCATTCTCTTTCCCTAACTAAAAGGCAGCCTCTATTTTTATGAAATGGTTTTTCGATAAAGGGAAAAGAATAATCACTGCGTAGGTTGATCAATCGTGCGACCAAATATATTTGCGGGCTTCAAGTGGTTGGATATCTTTTTTCCCTCCCTGTATGCCCCGTGCAGAGTTTTATATTTGTATAAGTTTTATTTGATGTATTTAGGGGTTTTGATGCTCCACTGCAAGGAATATTGTTGATACATGTATATGTCTGAATTGTGTACATAATGTTTGCATCTATTTTGATAGTAAAATGTATATTTCTGCCAATTTTCCACACTTATTAATTCAAAAATTGGTCATATGAAAGATACCTTGTTGTTACTAAACACAGCTTGGCCAATTTTATATTTTGCCGAGGAGTCGGTATTTTTGTAGTTGGGGCCATACGTGCACTGACTTGTACGTGAGACTGAAATGTGTTTGAAACAATTTGGTATGTTGGCAGCAGGAGGTCTGGTTGGTCTGCTGTAAAAAATCGATTGTACTCATAGTTTGCACGGTTTGTGTTAACGTGCATTATCATTTCACCAGACTGAATCTTTCAGTAACTTCCACCTGAAATGGAGACCTTTCCATTTCCACTAGATGCAACCTAGCCCCCAAGTGCAAAGTGCCTTTCACACCCAACTCTCCCAGAAAATCAACCGGGTAAAAAGCAAAGATCGTATTTTCGCGGCGCTATACGATCTTTGGTAAAAAGCCACCATTGCTTGACAAGGAGCTAGATAAGCTTGCTGAATGAGTATGAGGAATATGCCATTGGAAGCCTACAGCGAGTATGAAGGGTAACGACTTAATGCTGCCTGTGAATGGAAGCTTATAAATGAAGTAGTCCTTTTTACACATTTCAGTACTTGATTGTTTTGGTAGCGCAACACGGTCATTTTCATTTGAGACTTGGGGCCTTTAATAATAATTTCACCCACCCTCAGCTCAACGGAAGGTGATGATGTATTCCAAGCGATTAAATGACCAAAAATAAAATTCACTAAAAAGCCTCTGTAGGTTCATTAATAATTCTCGCCGACTTTTTATTCCAAATAACAGGAGCAGGAATCTCGAATTGTGCATCACTAGACTTTATTCACAGAGCGCTTAGCATTCTGTGAATGACGGTTACCTCTTGATCTTGTATCTTCAGCGTGCAAAAGTTACAGGCATATGTGGGTGGCATTTAGAATTATTTCCCAGTATAAATTTCCGAAGGGGGACGGCATTAACGGCGACCCTTCCCTCGAAAAGGAGCCAAAACAGAATTGTAATAATATGGCCCCCCTCAAAAAAAATGGTTGTGGATATGCCTCAGAGAGCAGGTATATAACAGGTGCTACACTGTGTGTTCTTAGGAGAAATTGTAGCTTGAACCAAAAATGTAAACATTATAAAATCTGAACCACGTTTAATTGTTCTCATGCCTTGGTGGTGATGTTGACAGTTTCTATGAAACGAATTTGAATTATGTATTATGCTGATTTTTATATTTGTGAAATGAAAATAAAAACTCAAAGACATCAACTGTTTTTGTCTCAACCCTGTAAATTGTTTGCAGTGTTCATAAACAGTGTGCTGTGCAGAAAGTCACGTCCTCGACACCAGCGGTTTCAAATATAGACGGTTCCTCACGGTTTAGACAACAAAAGATGGGTTGCAACCGCTGTTAGAAGTTTAACTCTTGCATCGCTGGTTTGCGCTCTATTGTTTCTGCAATTAATTGTTCCATAAAAGAATATGAAAAAAAATAATATGCAGTGCCGTGTCTTTTGGAATGTTTTCAGAAAACGAAAGGTGAATGAGCAAGTCAGGAATAAGGAAGTATTTTCACTTCCTGGCATGTCAAGGGAAAGAGACTTTTTATATTAACACGCTGTGGAAATCCGACTTGAACGAAGGCTATAATCGTTACTCTGACGGATTGGTTTTCTTAAGGGAAGTGAAGTCCTTCGGTGAGGTCCGACATTCCAACAGGGGACTCTTCCACGTATCACGGCTAGGCATGAAGATTAGTCTTCTCTTAAGAATATTTTTCCCATAGGAAAGTACATGGTTTATCCTCAGACTTGTGCAATAAAAAAAAACAATCATCCTGGAGCCAACGAGGGCCATCCCCGAGCAGAGTTTTTGTTTGTTTGTGGAGAACAATGAGGAGAAGCGGCGACTGATGAGCGATTTTTTCACTTCCCTTCCCTGCCCACTGAATCTTGTCTCACCCCTCAGAAAGGCCACCGTAAAGAAATGTCCAAATTTGGCCCCAACCGCCATTTTTTGCCCAACCTCAACGATTTCAGGTCCACTCCTCCCTATTCAGGCCTGAGCCACCAAAGTGACACCAATCAATGGCCTGGCAATTGACACGCATGCATCATTTTCAACTCTCAGCTAGCTAGAAGGCCACGCACAACCAGGCCACACCCGCTCAACTTTCACACATTCCTGGAAGAGAATTCGATTCTTTTCATTACTTATCCGAAATCAAGTGCGAATGTGGCCTTACCCTTTCATTACCACAAAGTGCTTTAGAAAAGCCTCACGCTAGGACTTCCAAAGGGTCTACATTTTTACTTTGAACTCATTGTGTCGTTTCTGACCTGATTACCTCATTAACCTATTATAGACGGCAAAATTGGCAATACAGTTATTGATCAAATGCATGATTCGTTCTGACCTGGAGTGAATCGCACCTCGTGAGCGTGGACAACACGCACAACTTGACATACAAAAGTTCGTACAGGTTTGAAGTGTGAACGGGAGTCACAGTTTTAGTAAACAAACTGTACAGCGCCAGCTGAAATGTAATTCGAGCTTCGCGATAGCATCAATTTGGGCCAACTGGACCGGTACAGTGCTAAAGTAGGAAGTTTGAGGTTTTGACATTTCTGAGTTACAAGTACACGTAAGCTAATGTTTTTTTTTATTTTAGGATTTCTATTTAATTTTTTTGGAAGTTATGACAGTGGAAGTTGTGTACAGAAGACTCATGTGGATGAGCCACAGTTGGAGTAGCCGCCAGTAGGAATTATTAATAGCGCCCTCTCGTAACCCGCAATGTGCCGTTTTGCTTTCGTTGGCATATTGAGATCGCGGTCGGATGTGTTGTAAATATGATAAAAGTTCCGAGGAAAAGATTAGCACATTCTTTGATTTTAAGTGACACCCGTGATTTTGGTTTGGATTTTGACCAGCACTGTAATATGTGTCCCTGTTATCAATTCCATATTATCAACACCATGTCACTGCTATTTTACGGCAAAAGAGCCTCACAAAATGTGAGAACAATAAAATTTAAAAAAAATTAATTGTAGTAACATGAATTGAATTATGAGGAAATGATACCAGCAAAGTGAGAAAATTCCCAATTTTTCTTTTTTTATATGGGATTCCGACTGACTCCCTTCTATCGCGATTATCTCATTTAGTCGATCGGTGGTTAAATGACTTTGAAATAAAGGCACATTCCCAGTATTTATTGTAAGTAGGCCCAAATCATAGAACCCGTCTCTACCCCTTGCTTCTAAACGTCGTGCAAACCGTTCTCATGATTTCTTTATTAACTTTGTGATAACTTTATGTCTTTACAACTATAAAGTTGCACCTAAATTACGTGTAGTGCCATGACGAGTCCACTTAGGAAAACAATAAAGTCAGGGCATTGTGCCCCGCACTCTGGATAATGACACTGCTCTGCCTGCCCATTGCTTAGTGTCCCCAGCCCATAATGTCAATTCTACGCTGCCTTCTCATTCTGAGGAAGGAAAATAACATTGGAAACAAAAGGCAAAATGACTGATAATTATGGCAGGGATACATCTACATAGAAATTGAAATTTCCATTTTTGAAATAGTAAGAGTTTTGTTATTCCTTGCAATCCTGTATTGGATTTGGTATTGACCTTTCAAGAATAATTTCAAACCAATGGAGGAAGGGCTTTGATTAAGCTAGAAATTTACACCTGTGAATACCAATTTATTTATTTATTGGCACGTCACTCTAGTTACATGCCATTCTCATCATTGTACGAATAAGGAAAAGATCAACAGCGAGGCTGTATACACGACGCGCCGAGCATGAGTCATGCACAAAAACGAAGAATCGCTAAGCTCTGTGTAGGGGTTGTAAACCGCAGAAAGATGGTTGGGGTAAATATCCCCCACCTTTTGACGTACGAAAGATAGGCTGTTGGACCATGCCCCTACCCATAGCAAAAGGGCAGATTTTGAGGTATTTTTTTCGAACTTAACCACAACCAAACTGTATTCGATAGCACTGAAAAATGGTGAAAAATACAACAGCTTTGCATTTACCCTTTTGATGTAAGGAGAGGGGTGTTGCTATGCACATCATAAAGCTGTACATCTTTATCGTGATTAGCGCCCTCAGTGTCATGCGGTGTCCAGAAGCCCCCGTCCCCCGTTCGAATTTTCACAGCCAGACACTTTTTGACTGTAATCATTTCCTATCCCCTACATAGTTCCCAGAACATATTTAGGCCATTGGTTTCTATCATATTCGTTTTATTTTTGTTGCTGCTAATGCCACTTCCGGGGAGGGTCGTCCAACGGGTGGGGATACCGGTACTTTCCAAAGAAAATATGAGCTTCGCTTTAGCTTCAGTAGTGAATCAGAATGAACGAATTTTTGAAAAAAAGGGATTTTTAACTGCCGAACTGTTTCTCATGGTGTCCCCTTATTGTAGGGGCTCATTACAGCAAAGACCAAACTGCTCAATTAGGGGTGCCTTTAAGGCTGTGTCGATGTCCGATACAACAGTTACTGGCTATGGCTCCATGAAACGCAAGTAATCGTATTCCCGAGGGAGCCACAGCCGTTAGTTTCCTCAGGCGCACTCGTTAGTCAGCCACGACGTGTGGAAGGTCTGAGGTAAACATAATGCAAGTTGTTCCCCCTTTTTGAGTTGAGAATCCCGATGACGAACAGAGCACACTCAAAACGACGAGTTGAAACAACTCGTCCATTTCAAAAGCGAGAGTATAGTTTCCAGGGCTTCAACGAAAACATTTGATACTTTATTTGATTGCGAAGTGTTACTTGAGTGGCATTTTTTCACTAGAAAGGGCATGGGAAGAATTTGTTCGTTTAGGAGGAGGTGTGTGGAGTGAATATGGTATCAATAGTATTTCCAACTTTGCTCACCCATAGGTGCGTATTAGCCATACGTGCATGGCAAACCGTGTATGTACTTTACCGGTAATGTATACACACAACGTCTGATTCACTGCTTTAGTTAACCATATCGTGACGAACGAAGGGTTTGTCTAATTAGCGTAGGCCTATGCTGTTTCGCAATCAGCGTTTTCAGAAAGCAGACGCTTGGGCTAAACTGTATGGAGCGTGCCAAGAACCTGATTTGCAGTTGATGGACGAACTCTGAAAACCGGACATTGGATATCATGTAGCGATCGCGTCAGAGAGCAGCATGATGGGGAATTGGCTTTCCTTTGAATTCACCGCGCATCATTTGACGGAGAAATTGAGCGTTAAGAATGAGTGGATTCAATTTTGCTTGTTTGAGGCTCCACTCGGTTAATAATGCACATTAACACGACGTTGATCTTACGAATGAATATAGCACGTTGATCCGGGTTTTCTGAGTCAGCCTCCTTTCTGTTTAGGGAACAGTAGAGCCCTGTATTTCGGGAATTTGATTTGGCCCCAGCGGAGAGCAGTTGTTAACTAGTTGATTAGATATCTGTTCTGTGCAAACGAAGTCAGCGTGAAGACATGTTTCCCCTTGGGGACCTAAATACATGAAATAAGTGTCGACGCGTGACGTGCCAATCATCCCAATTCCGCTCTCTGCACCACTTGTCCTTTCAATATCAAACCAGTCCGTTAATCAGTAATTGAAACAAACGATGCCTGCTCGTCTGGAACGAGTCCATCTTTATACCCCAGTAGCCTAAACAAAGAAAGGAAGGGGATTCAATTCATGAATAATTAGCATTCGCTTTGATTACTTTGATGATGATAATGTAATATCATAGCAAAAGTAACATGATCAACAACACAAATATCACCAAAGGATGTCTGAGCTTTTTCACTGAATAATTATTGGCGGGGTGAGTACACTGAAACCAACTGTATTAAAATCAGCTACCCAAACCCATTGCTTAACAAGTTATTCCACACAAAAGGTTAACAAGTTGAGCTACTTTCAGATGGTACCCACTCTTCATTCTTCCAATGGTGCTCGCTATTAAAAAGAAATATTTTCCTACGTATCAAATTGCTGATCCACAACGCTGGCTCTACGGTCTTCATCTAGCTGCTTCATGCAGTTTCCATAGCCTCGTGTGTTACTTTGAGCTGTAGCAAAGTAACTCACACACGGCCCTACTCTAAAGAGGATTTCAGCCGTTGTAAACCTTACGTCACATGTGAATACTGTTGAACTACCGGGTTTCTTTGCCACTATCTTGCGCTCCAAGGGTGAGAAGATTATCAGCTGGACTGCTGTAGTAAAAGACCTGAAGTGAAGTAAGTAGGCCTACAGCCCGGAAACAGCAAGACACTTGACAGGTTGATATCTACCGGCAATACCAACCTTACATCTGTTGAGGGGTCGACAGAAGGGCACACTTTCGCTTTTAAGGCTCTGTGCCATCTACCATTGCTTTGGTAGCAGAATTATTGCACTTGTGGCTTAGCGCGTGAGGAAAATAAAAAAATTCAATAAAAATGACCCCCCTCCAAACAAAAACCACTCAGCACGAAGCGAACAAATCCCCGAACCTCAAGCTTTGCCCATGTACAGTCAACGTCCTGGATGTCAACGACACCAGTGCTGACAATAATATTTCCATAAATATTCCTTTGTCTTCAATGCACACTGCTTCAGAAAAGCCCAAGGTCGATTAAACCTCGGTCAAGGTATTTGCCGATAGTGTCCATGACGGTATAGCCAATCAAATCTATTTTGCCGTGCGCTTGCTATGGTTATGCACTAAAAGTCATCATAATTGAAAAAAAAGATTGCAAATCAGATTGGGCCCATCCCGAACTGACGTGTGCCTTTATCGGTAGCCCTTGAGGTCACTCTTAGCGATTGTTTTTTTTTTTCGTATTGCACAGCAATCCTGCCGTATAGCGGTCAGTCTGACGCTCCAACTCTCACTGAAGAAATGTTTTTAATTAAATATATAATATCAGTGCTCTCCTGTGGAGCAGAAACTTGGAGAACTAAGCGGTCGGGGAAAGAGCTGAGAGTTACAGAGAGGGTAATAGAAAGAATCTTCAAGACTGTTGCTACAAAGATGGGCAGAGTCGGTGACAAAGACCTGCGAAAGAAAACAAAAGTGCATGATACCCTACAGGAAATACAGTTAAAGCAGTGGAGGGGGAATGGCCATCTTGCCAGGAGAATCAATGGCGGACGAATCAAGAAGCTAACAGACTCTGGACTCCTAGGTCTTATTTCTAGAGGAAGAGGCAGACAAAGCTAGAGATGGATGGATGACATCAGAGAATTGGGCTGCGTTACATGGAAGAGAACAGTACGGCACAGATTGAAATGGAAAATTGATGAAAAGGTCTTCCTTTAGCAGTGGTGCACGACAGGCTGAGAAGACCATCATGGTCGAATGAAACCACTTCGTTTGGTTTGCAACACAAGCTTCTCTCTGTGTATTTTTCTAGTGATTCAGCAAAACACCAAAACGATCAGTCAAAACCTCCCCCTTGAGAAATAATTTGCGCCCAATTCCCGTCTGAGTGTTCAGTGTTAAAGTTAGCGATGCAGCAATTTAGAAAAACCAATCCCGTCAGTTCGTGGTGAGGGAGTACAGCCCCCTCCCCGCGCTGAGGCGAGAGAACCACAAAAAGAGCCGAATGTCAATTGTAATTGTGTGTAAGAAGTCTTGTTTCGTACATTATGACCACGACACCAATTAGGCCTAGGTGATTCTTAAAAGCTCGCAGTGAGATATTGCTTCTGTGCAAGAAGCCAGCAAATTGAATTTCTACTTCCAAGGCTTTTAGAATTAAGCGAGGTATGAACCCTTCTGAAAATAAATCCATTTTGTGAATGTCCATGACGCGTGCGCACAAAGGGCACGGTGGCGGCAAGTCCACTGACAAAATGCAGGAGGTGGTGAAAAGCGGTCTTCTCACTCAAGATTTTTATGCAAGTATGCGCGTAAATGACCATGTTCGGCAAGCGTGCGCTAAAATTAAAAACGTACAGGGGTAAAAACTTTAAGGGGCGTGTTCTCTCAGATTCTCCGAGTTTTTTCGTTGTTGTCTTAAGGTAACACACTTGTAGATATAGATGTAGCTTTCAGGTCTAAGAATTTCACAATATATAAAATAAAGAATCAAAAATTTGCTTTCGCCCAAGGTGCACAGAGGTCAAACGCAATTAACAGGACTCCCTGCTGGGTCCCATCCTATGTGAAGGATTTATAATGAAAATTCTATCACTTTATTGTGAGGGTTAATTTCTCGTCAATATTGACGTCATAAATTAACAAAAGGGTTTTGAACACAACAAACACAGCAAATGGTTTGAAACATTTAATAAAAACACTGTAGGTTTTCATTGTTATGTTAGAAATTGCGCACACTATTTTACCGATAGGCAAATTACAGAAACACATTTCGCAGCTCTGTTAAGATTTACATTTGCGATTAGATTTAGAATGTAAACCCTGGAACATACACCACATTACAAATTAACACTGAAAATATTCGATGCAGGCTTTTGACAAGAATTTAACACTCAGAAACGACAAGTTCCCCTTGTTATACTGACAAGATATTGGCAAAGAGTGCCACAAGACCTTGACAAGAATACACACCAAACATTCCAAAGCAGATTGTTACATGCATCTTGTAGACGCTCTACCAAATAATTTCTGAAACTCCGTTAAAAACAACGGTATTGATTCTGGTGGTTTTTTTTCTACATTCAGACTTGGAAGAATTTCACAAAACTGAAATATGCGCAATTCCTTTTTCCAATCAATGCATCTACTTTATAGCTCACTAATGCGCATGCACGCATAACAAATTTAATTTATAAGCAGTTTGGGGGCGGGTCCATCTTCCTGGATGCCCGCGCACTCTTCTAGGAAGAGTACAGAGGCGTGATCGGTCACCGTGGGTGTTACTGACGTTCAAAGGGAGACAGTTAGTGGCTGTTGTGCCCAGTTTTTCGATTCATGAATGACGACACGCAGCGGTGACTCAAAATATTGCCGGACTGGATGGAGATAAGTGTGATAGGGATAAAAAATGTGTGAGACTTCCCATCCGGAGCAAAAGAGAATCGTTTCTATGAAGACTCTGACTGATTAACTAGCTCCCTTTTCCTCTATAATCTGACTTCTTTGCGCCGATTTTTTCCGTCGATAAACACAAACCGTTTGTGAAACGATTTTGATCAAGCAAGTTGACGAAGAGCTACAAACACCGACAGCCTGAACATGGAGTCCACAGTTGAAAATGGGTCTAACTATACTGATAATCTGGGAGCTGCCGGGACGGGATTAGATTCCACTCAGATCATTGGGGCTGCCGCAGGGCTTGCGGGGATCCTGGGCAACGGCTTGGTCTGCTTCGTTATGCTCAGGTATAGGTCAGCTTTCGGCTCCATCACCGATAAGCTCCTGTTCCACCAGTCCCTCGTGGACTTCTCACTGTCCACAGTGATGATGATAACCCGGCTTTACACCCCCTGGGGTGAGTTCTTCTGCCGTGTTCCACGTGGCTGGTTGTACTGGGGACTGGCCAACGTCTCCACCGCTAGCCTGATGCTCATCTGCTGTGACCGGTACGTGGCAGTCTGCTACCCAGTCAAATACCGTCAGTGGTTCTCCATCAAGCGCGTGAAGATCGGCCTGGTCTTCGTGTGGTCGCTACCGGTTCTCTGGCAGTCATATCTGGTCTTCGTCCACCTGCCTGAAGGCGCCTCTTGTGTAGCGACCTGGCCCAACGATACAGCCAGACTCAGCTTCGGTGTGGCCACATTTTGCTGGGAGTACGTCTTTCCTCTCTCGCTGATCATCATCACCTACAGCCAGACAATCCTGGCTCTTCGTAGGCGCCTGCGGGTGAAGGCAAACCAAGTAGCCAACAAGCCGTCGGCCGGCCACCGTAACACTGCCAACAAGGTGAAAGATCCCCTGCACACAGCCAAGGTAAAGCTGACCATAACCTTCCTAGTCGCTGCCATCTTCTTTGTCATCTGTTGGGGCCCCACGGAGTTCACCTGGCTCCTGTTCAATTTCGGGGTTGTGCCAAGGTCCTACTACGCCTCCCTGTGGCACCTGGGTGTGGAGACGCCCCTCTTGTGTATCAACACCTGCGTAAATCCTTTCATCTACTGTGTAACTTACACCCGTTTTCGCCGGCACCTGATCAATGCTTTTTGTAGCAGATGCAAATCCAATAAAGTCGGTAATGCATTAGCCGAGGACATTACGGACAACAGCTCGGACCCTCTCCAGTCAACTACGAGGGGAAGAGGGCAAGCAACTGCAATCCAGGTGAACACCTAAAGAGAAGTCTTGTCCGATAGGCTACAATTCGTCTTGAGTTCTTGAGTGAACTACTAGAATCATGGAAGTAGAACTTATACTGTCATTGACTACATTGGTGCATGGGCATGTATTGGCGATTCTGCTGGGGATCGGTGAACTTGCCAACGCTACTATACGTCAATGACAGTGATAGCAAACATTGAAACACTTATTGATGCAATGAGATAGGTTAAGCTGGCATGCAGATTTGTTATGTCGTTGGAACAAGCACTAAGCAATTACGATTATCTTGACACACTAAAACGCTATTTTAAACTTAAGTTGTCCATTAAGTTGTTTGGTCTATTTCTCAGTGTTATTTAAAAGACCACTATATTAATTAACTGTGAACTTCATTCCAAATGGCAATGTTTAATGACACCTAATTTTCGTTTTCGACGTCACTGTGATATCTTCTTATTTTTATAAAAGTTATGACATACAGGCATTTCTTGAAACCATCCATCGTCTCAAAACATCAATAATGTAATTAGGCCTAAAGTAAAGGGACACACATTGAAGCACTTACATATATATATACAGTCGACAGCCACAAATAGCGTTCCTCTTTCGACCAACACGATGTTCTGATTTGCCAACTCGCACCTCATGTTCAAGAGATTTTTGAAAGCTCAGCATGGCCTCGATCTCAGATGAGATCATGACGCCGGCCAATGCTCAGTCGGTGGTGAAGGCTAAGGATGCGCATAATCAGTAACTTGACAAGTGGGGGGTGATTATTTTGGTGAACCCCCCCCCCCAAATATAAGTGGCCAATTCCCCCAATTCCCTGGGATCTCCGCCCATAAATGTAAGGAAAGTGAGACTACAGGAGTGAAATGTTGAATGGTATTATTTAACTTGTACAAGTAAATATCAAATGATTTGAAAGTATAAGGTCAAAGAAGTCGCCAACGAGAAGCTATTTAAGTACTGAAGAAACAAAGACCCCAGTTATATAAATTAGTTTTCCACAATATCGAAGTTTTTGAGGATTTGATGTTTAAAGTTTATATAGCCTTGGTTGTTCGACAGTTTTCACAATGTTTGTTTGCGTGGCCTGTAGCTGAACTGCTCAGACTCGTTTAAATGTACAGAAACACACAGGGTTTTTAAAGTTTTCATGGGATTGTTTCTGTTATGGGGTAAAGTTGGCAATATTACCATATTACCTAAAAAACCTTCGATAGAGTAAATCATATAATTATTTTTTAAAAGACTCAATACGGGTATAACAATCAATTCGAGAGTTTATTTTCGTTCGCAAGTTTTCTAATCCATGCGCTTCATCCCAATTGAATCAAACTGGGGTACCGTTTTTCGATACATGCATTCGGTCACTTTTTGTCATACAAATTTGACGTTTGGCATTTTTTTTTCGTGAACAGGCACTCAGAAAGGCGTTTTTATCGTCTCTAGTTAAGTTTTTACCATATGTTTCAAAATGGAATGATCACAATCATGGTGATTAAAGCACACGGGGTCGGTGGCTTTTTTCGCTGAGGTGCACTCTTCCGCTGGCTTTCAGCCGAGGATACCTCAAAAATGCCAACAGTGTATGTTACCGTATAACGTGTGCTCTGATATTCTGGTGTCGGTTTGTAACATTATAACATGTAACATTCGTCTATAAAGTCTGTTTCAACGACTGCAGCCTTGTCATTATATAGTTATTTTTTCAATTGTTGCATTTCAGTAATATGGGTTACATTCTTACACTATAGGGATCGGCCCAAATTACAGATTGCATTTACTATGAGTCAAAAATCACCTCGCTGCGGTGAAAGATGTTTCCAATGCGGCGCAAAGATATCGCAGTTGCATCAATGATGCCCTTCAAGTCGGAGCGTCATCCCAGGCTGTATTTCAAGTACTCGATATTCCGCAAAAACTTATACAAGAGCTGCATGCAGTTTGACCTCGAATTTAGAAGTACATCAGAGGTTTCTCTTTGAGTGAATACATCTTTCGGAATTTTAACTATTGTTATTTGCACTAGTAAGCAGAATCTTCTATATTTTTCTGTTGATTGTATTTCGTGAAAATTTCATATTTACGTTTCAAAGCTACGCTGCAAAAACTGTGTAGCTAGTAAGCACGGTTCTAAACACCCCCTGGCTGTCAGTTTGTAATTCATATGCTTAAATACTAAACGTGTGAAGAATATTGATTGATCTGGTGTTTAGCAATTAAAAATCGACGTATAGGAATTTGACGCGTAGGCCCTAATGTCTACCTTCTAATCATATTAACAAGAGTGACAGCAAGGCTGTGCTTAATTGCTAAATGCAGCTTTTAGATTGCCAATACCAATAACATCAGGTTTCACAAAGTTAGCGACAGAACAGCGCTTCATCCATGTTTGCCGATCAGCCGGGTTTGATCCAATGATGAGGACGAGTGGTTAACACACAATATTAGATGGTTCATTTTTGACAGCATTGCTGTCACGCCGTGCAACACTTGAGATTTCTGCTTTGGAGACTGTGAGCTTCAACTATCCTCGTTCACGGTAAAGGCAGACAAAATGAACCACTTGGAAACCTTTCTCCTGCTTACAATATCAGATTTACACCATACTCGGCCATTTTTAAAGACGAGTTGGTATGTCCAACTGGATTACTGTAAAGTAGGCCTACTACGAACCGTCGTTGAGATACCTCTGTGTTGGTTTGCTCCTAAACGTAATGGTAAAAAATTGAAAAATTAGCAATGGCAAATTTTTCAATTCTGTTTTCGCCTCATTAGTTTTTTCCTTTGATTTTTTATTTACAAAGTTTTATCCGACTTCCATTTTTGTTTCCAGTTCATTATCTGCAGGCGTGTGCCATAGTTCCACACTTTATCTTTCAGTTTCGAACAAAATGAGAAGAGCAGAGATGCTGTAAGTCACAGATTCCAAGTGAAGTTAATCCACTATTCGCCCAAAGTGTTTCTTTTTCACATAGTGAAACACTGTCTTGACAGGTTACGTTGTCATTAAAGATCTTCCTTCGTAGAGTAAATTAACGGCCAATGAAAGAAAAGGGGGAGGGATTGCGGCTTTTTTACCAAGCAGTCAAGAGCGGCCGACTTACGGACAGAAGAACGTCGGAATCTTTTGATTGATGCAATCTGCAGAAGCTGTTTTATTTTTCTTTGATAAAAACGTTCGATTGTGGCGTCCTCTTCGTGCATGATCACACTGAGAGCCGCACCGCGGAAACAGGGCTGGGAAGGATTTCCTTAGTAAGTCTTTCAAAATATGCAAGCAAATTCATAAAACAGAAAGCACATGTTACAGAAACAATTTTCAACCTTCCTCGGGGCTTATACGAATTTGAAAATGGCCGACTGAATGCGGATTAAATTAAATTTTGCATTTAAACACTAAGCACAGGAATCATACGTTCGTACATGGGGCATTCTTTATAACATGAATTCGAATGTGCCCGATATTAGAACGGGTTAAACTATATTAAGGTAAAAAATGTAAGTAAAAACGTAAAAAAATCCCCAAACATCTGCATATTTAAAATACAACAGAAAGTAATGACTAAGTATGACGTCTACTTATTAATGACGGCCGCATTTTACAATGACCACCATTTAGGACCGGATCTCCGATGGCCCCATCATCTTTCATCGTTTAGTGCACACGAGGTTTGTTTTTCAGAGCCACTGTCAGGCTTTTAGTAACTTGGGAATTGGATTCGCAATATTGCGAGTATAGCTGTCAAGAAAAGAAGTTCCGATCCACCACTCAAAATAAAATTAGTGACCAACGGAAATTCCGAATGAGAAAGTTTTCCTCTTGAAAAAAACATGACATGAACTTTGAACTCACCCCTGTCCCCAAATAGGGCAAGGGGAAAACATTTTGAAGTGAAATTTTGGCAATGTGGTCTTGGGTTCCACGCTGATAGAATTTGGACTAACCACATTTTCATTCACCAACTATACATGTGCCAAGATTCAAAACGTGCAAACAGAACACGGCGGAACTTTGAGTGAGCAATGGCCCAAAAATATGACTTCGGCAATGGGAAGGTACAAACAACAGCCACCTAAAATCACTGAGATGTCTCAATGTACGTCAATGTGAAGATGAATTACATTTTGTAGGTAGGTCTTACCCAGGGGACGAAGCCTGTTATAGTGTCATCTTACGTTGCAAGCGGATGTTTGCCATTATCACATCCACTAAACTGGGAGATCAGGCAGTGTACTGTACAGTTAATATTGAGACAACGATAGTGTGACTCCTGGTAAAAAAGTAACTCTATTGTGTAATTCGACCACCAGAATTAGAAGCCATTACTGCGGTGGCACAACGCGCTCGTGGACAGGTGGTACGCGCGCGTTACTTGCCTCTTCGACCAATAGGGTGTCGTGATTTGCCAAATGCACGCGCGCGTCAAACTGAAGAATGTGCGTGTAAGTGCGGTGCCACCGCAGTTATGGATTAGTCTATAGGACCCGATGTACGCAACTTTGCATGCAATAGAGAGTGGTTTAACCCACTTTATACTGAAGTGCATACAGGACAGCACATTTTACGCCAGGGCTGTTGGGGCAACGTACCGGGAAAGTCTCCATCATTAGTAATCATGCATACTAATTAGCTCTTTTAGATGATGTTCTTCAGTGTTATGAATCAGTGATAAAATAATTAACAATAGATTATCAGATTGGCAGACACAACGCTACTCAGTCCATACGGGAAGAAAAATTAAGATTAAATGCTCAGACTTGGTAATGAAAGAATTTTTGGAATCACGTCAAGAGCATAAATTTTCAAATGAAATTTAATGTGCACAGGTGTGGGGGGAGCGGGTTAGCGTAGCGGTTGTTTCCTCGCTTTGTACCAATGAGGCCTGGGCTCGAGTCCTGGCTTGGCCCAGGCTTTAAGTGCATGTGGTGTCCGGTCCATACTCGCTCTCGCAGGTTTTCTCCGGGTACTCCAGTTTCCTCCTGCCTCTAAAACTGGACCTTCTTCCTAACTCCGTAATGTGATGCTGATTAATAAAGTGTATGAGTAAACGTACAGTTATTGGCGTAAATAGCCTGAGTTGCTGAAAGAGCCGTTAAAACAAAACAACAACAACAACAATGTGCACAGGTGTTAGACCTACAGCTGATAGAGAGGGAGAAGGCAGACCATAAGAAACGGGGGAAACGAGGAATATATGGTACGACATACATCGTGATTTTTCTCATCCTTTTGAGTCTTGCAAATGTCCTACAGTCTGCTGGTTGATATGAGCGCTACCGCTTTTATTGCCAAGTTAACACAGCCCATACCAAAAGAGGGTAGTAAATTCAACTCAGCTAAAAACGAAAAACCCACACGGGAATTCGCCGAGAGCGCTCCTGTATAAATTTGATTTGGCCAGTTCGTTCGTCTATTCAAATTTCAATCCTTGCACAGATTGTCGAAAGTGAGGGTTTTCGCTGGGAGGAAGTTTTTCACTCTTGGCCTCGAGAAGAGGTGGCGCTACTTTGGCTTCTAATTCCTCCTCCCTTGAGTGCAAATGGCTGATGCAAGGCGATCCTTTATCCTTTTAGCCGCTAGGTCAGAAGATAGGTCGAACTTTTAGCAGATGTGAACGTAAAAGCACCTTTTACTCTCTGACTTTGAAGTGCGAAGGTGCAGTGATCCTATTGTCCAAAGAGCTGCATTTCAGCGAGGGAATACTTGTGTTTGCGGTTTTGTGCATTGTTTTCTTGTTAGCTTTTCCCGTGTACTGCAGAGAAGTCTTTCTTTTTGTCGAGATGTTTTTCTTCTTTCTCTTCTTATGCTGTTTCAGGGACCAGCCGAAACAGGCCTTGTCTTGATTAAGCTTATATCTGAGAGTCGAGATCATACTGAATTTTTATTAAATGTTCTTTCATAACCAGGAAATTTATGCACACATTATTAGTGTCAGCTCCTTTAAATGGAGTTGTGAATCCAGAAATAGAGTAGCTTCCACTCAATCGCATTCAACATGTCGAACCAAATCAAAAAACCTTCATGTAATCTGTGGAGACTTATTTGGGTTGTACGTCATGACATGTTGTGGACGTCATACACGACTTCTCAAACATGACCATATATTTTACACATACCAGTTATGTATGTAGGAGCTGTTGTTATTCGCGTAGCTGCATATATTCATGGGACAGCATACTTTGCAAGAAAAGGTGAAGGCACCGCTTGCTTCTTATTAAATTTATTTCTTTATTTATTGAATTCTCGTAAAGGGTCTGTTCGACCTTGAATAAAATGAAATTGCGTAGAGACATCGCAACTTCAGTGGACTAACTATGTCCCATGCAGTGACGTCACGATGACATCATCGGTTGAATTTATTTACATATTTCAATACTTCAAAGTCTGAAACTACTTGCAGCTTGCACCTAGCCAGAGCTATGCAAAAAGCCTCCGGTATGTTCCAAACTGATAAATAAACTCTAGTTTTACCTTTTAAATTATAAAGATATTAATACCTTCAGTGGTTTTGTCCAACGACTGCATCTCTGTCTAACCACTCATGTGTAAACTTAAACGCAAATCTGGAATCTCTAGGTTTTTTGGATAAAGTGAGAGTACATATTCTTCATTAAATAC